GCCTGCCCGATGGACAGTGCCACGTCCAGAAAGCCCGAGTCGGACCCCTCTCGTTTACCCTTGCCGTTGCCTGCTTTGAGAACAGTTGGGAAGCTGCTCTGCGCGAGCATCTTTCCGATATCGTGAACAAGACTCTTGTTCGGCTGGCCGTCTGGGTTCAAGGGTGCTGGGTCCACCCACATGAAGGTTGAATCTGACAGGCTGGCGGCTTCTTCGGTTTTCCGAGTTTTGTCGTTCTTGATGCGATCGGGGAGAGAGGCCGAAACCTCGTCGAGCTTTGCCTGGGCCCCCTTTTGGGCCTTCTTTTTGAGTCTTTGAGCCGCCTTTGTGAAGTTGGGAAATATCTGGGCGACAGGATCACTATGATCATCCGCGATAGCTCCGGCAACCTTTGCGATGATCCCAGCGGCCGTTCCAATGGTGCCCGAGTTTGATTTGACCCAGTCCACGGCAGAACCGACGCCATGGATGAGAGAGCTCCACCAGCCCATGTTCAGTGTCGTGCTGTAAAGAAGGGTAAGGTAGAGTGTGTGTAGTCAAAAGGTAAGATTTTGAAGGTGCTATATGCGTCTTGATGATACTGAGAGGTTGGCGGTCGAGAGGTCAGTTTCGACGGCGCGTCAAGCTGTTAAATACTTTTTGGTCTTCGATAGGAGTCCAGATATCCTCTGGCTGGTTATCTTTCATGGCTGCCATAGTGCAAGGATCAACAGCGGACGGATCTGCGTAAAGTGCGGCGATAGAGAGTCAGCAGTGAAATATTGTCATTGTGGCTGGCTGCAAAGTCAAAGATATTTAGATGTTGTCGTGATGGTCGATCTTGAAATAGAACTTGATGGCTCAGAGTGGGAGTCGGTAGGCTAGGCGGTGCCATATAGTCTCCTCTGAGTAAATGTGGCTCGCAGACCAAGTGGTGAGGAGTGGTGATGTTAAAGCACCAAGCAGTACGATGGCGGCCAACAATGTCAAATAAAGGTTAGGTCGGAAGCTGTCAGTTGATGAACTGGTCTCCTTTGGACAATGCGCGCCACGGGTGAGCATCAAGCCAAGTGTTGAGGGGAAGATTGTGGCTTGTTCTCAGCCAGCCCAAATTCCTGTAGACGCGGACTATGGGTCCACTTCTCTTTCCAATAGTCCGAGTTGGTCAGCTAGTGTAGGAAGAAGAATGAAAAGATGGTGTTTATGTGTAGGTAGGTAACAAGGTGTGAGAACTCTTGCGAGGGACGTCGAAGTGAAAAGGAAAAGAACCTGGTCCGATCTCATTGGTAGATAACGTTAATTTGTCAAATTTTTGTGGAGCCATGTCACTGACAGTAGAAACAGTGGAAAATTCTAACGGCTTAAACTGTTACACTTTCGTATCACCAACCAATCACCACAACCACCACCACCACCACCCATCAGAAATGACGACTCGTCTTCCACAACTATCAACCTCCCCCATTCGTCATCCCTCTTCATGCTGCTCCCTCTCGCTTCCATTACTCTTCCTCCTCGACACCATCCTTCCTCCTCCTCCCAGTCTAGCCCTCTCAATCGGCTCCGGTCCTGGCCTCTTAGAAGCTCTGCTCCTACACCACTACCCGGCCCGTTCGAATAGCATTTACGGCGTGGAGGTCTCGGCCCCAAAGCCAGTTAACGTTTTTCTTCCCGAGCAAAACACCTTGACAGTGACAGGAACATGGGCAGTGGTTGACAGTGGCTTGCTGAAGGAGGCGGGTGCGCTGCTGTTCGTCTACCCCAGGCAGCCCTCCTTGGTAAAGGCTTATCTGGCAGGGTGGGAAGGGGAAATCGTAGTTTGGATCGGGCCTAGGGCAGACCTGGAGGAGTTTGGGCCAGTATTTGACGAGTGGGCTGTTGACAAGGAGGGGGAGGATATGCGGAAGGGTGCCGTCGAAGCGGGGGAGGGCGTGTGGGTTTACAGGAGGGTGTGACTGTGTAGAGATATATACCCACCCGGCCTACCCTGTGGGTAGGGTATCCTTTTGGTTCCACAGACTGACTGCGCTGTTGGAAAGCGGAATGGAAAGCGTGGATGAGATGGAGCCAGGTTCTTGTAGATGCTTGACATAATCCAGTAACATTTCACGTAGCGCTCTACCGTCGAAACAATCTCGACCTGTCCAGGCAGGAGTCCCACAGGATGTCGTCGGGGCTGGCGAAGCCGCCAGCTGGTTTGGGGAGGACAAGATTAGGCATGGTTGGTTCTGCTCTAGGTATGTGCCGTGCTGTCACCAGCCCATGGGAAACGACGGGACTGAATACTAGGTAGCCGCCTTATCTCAGTCAGACAACATCTTTCCTCCCCCAGATGGTGTCAACAACTAGGTACAACTGCCATCCAGCGCATTCCGTTGCATGGTGGGAAGAGTGACGTGGAAAGAGTGACTTTCGGAGCAAGGCAGGTAACCTGCAACCCAAGTCAGTTCTTGCAAGAAGGCCAAGTACGTAACTGGGATCACTTAGCTACCTTCCTTTCCATATCGACACCTCAGCTATCTCGGTCATCTCGGCCATGTTCCACCACTGCTTCTCAACAAAGCAACGTCTCTCCTTCCACAACAGCACAAACTTCCCATTTTGCTCATCTCCATTCTGCCACTTCAATGATGTCAAGGTGATTACGGTTGCAGTCATGGAAGGTGCAGATTCGAGGTGCTGTTGGCTTTAAAAGACCATTTTCCATCCATTCTGTTGAAATTGCCTCTTTTCTTCTTGATTGGGTCTGCCAATCGACAGCGAAACAGCGTTATGCCCTCATATCTCGACCTTACGGCACGGCAGTGCCTCTGGCTACTTGCTCAGTACCTTGGCCCAGGACTCCTCGCCTTTGTCTCTGGTCGTATCTTCGAGCGGTGCCGGTATCCTCCCGGCTATCTTGATGTTTCGGAGCCTCTAGCCAGGGGGCATCGGTTCTTTATCGATGGTATTGTCCCGAGCTTTCTCGCACTCCTCTTGAGGGCTGTGTGCATAGCTTGGTGGTCCTTTCCCCGCGAGGGGGCAGTTGGATGTCGAGCTTACTTAAGTGTCTGGGAAAACTTTTGTACCCACGCCGTTCTGCTCTTGCTTGTCCGCCCAGTTTCTCGGGGCTGGCTGGTATTACTATCTCCAGTTAGCTCAACACTTGTTGAAACCGCTGATGCAACCAGAACTCTTTTTTTTTTTTTCCACTTTGATCACCACTCCGTGGTGACAAGGTGAAGAAAACTGCCTTGTGCTGTTCAGCTATGAATAGGGGATTTTCACACACCGATGATGCTAGTTTCGCAATCTTGATAAGCAAGGTAGTGAATGCAAGTTCACCAACGAGAATGAGGTTTCAGAATGCAATGTTCCAGTCGCGTATCCTCGATGGAGGTCATCGAGCGTTTGATTGATCAGCATGGCGAATCTTCCTGGATTTTTGGCCGTGATTTGATGAGGGTGTTGGAAACGGAAGAGGAGGAGCAAGAGATACTTGTAGTTGGAGCTGGTAGTACTATCGCATATTGCAAGACTGATGCTATTCATGAAATTGCAAACTGCCTGATCAATGTGTCAAGTGGAATATTTCTCAGAATTCTACGGCTTCATGATGGGCACATAGCTCTTTGTGTGATTTACATTTCCAGCTGCGTATCGGGGCACTCCATCTGCCCTATCAAAGGTGTTGCCAAATTCCACGCCCTAGCGATGCTGAATGCGAACGAGCACTTAGACGTAGGGATCTTGAACTGCGAGAATACGGGCAATGACAGCGGCATGAAGCTTCTCGGAAAAGACATAATGACGAAGTGAAACATCATGGATAGAACACAATCTACCAAGTAGAGGTGCATCTATTTCCCTCTAAGAAAAGCCTGATACAAATCCAGATTCGGCTGGAGCTCACTCGCCTGAAGCGGCTCTTCTCGTAAGCGGATCCTTCTGCGACTCTCCAGATCCTCGTACCCGGCGCCCGGCGCGCTACAGAGCAACCCAACTCTCACCGCTGGCGCCAGACTTCTCACTAGACGTTTGTGTTAGGGGGCCACGGGGGAGTGAAGTTTGATTATCCTGGCTCTCGAAGGAGAAGGCGCATCCCCATGTTCTCCAACTTGTGGCCCCAAGCTTCATACCTTATGCGGCGACGTCATTCTCAGTGCATTCAAGAGGTGCTTGTGTACTTCGTCAAAATACATACGATACAGCATATGTCTGCCTAAATCCGGTGAGAGCATTCTTTTGTACAACATCCACGTTGTCTTTTTCGCGCGTAACACCTTGACTCTACACTCTTTGTGACCAAATGAATTAGGAGTTTAAAATAGACGACAGACTTTGTCTCCCTCCCTCAAGTTGCAAAAGTCCGATTTTCATCTCCAGCACAGATGCCGACAGGAACAGCCGGTGGCAGCAGCCAAGTCAATACAAAGCAGTTGGACGCCTCAGCCTCTTGATATTCGGACGTGGCTTGCTGACTACTAGGTCTGACCGCTGACGTCCTCCAATAACTCTATCCGTAACACCGTGAAAGTATAGATCCTTACCTCACGCTAGCGTATCTGATAGGGCAGTCCAGCCGAGTGCGGTGGTGTAACCACAAAACTTAGGCGCTCAGAAAATAGCGTCGGGTATAGTTAGCCGCGCCAATTGCAACGCTGGTTATCCACATACATTTCATGCTTGTGCTAACAAGGACTTGCTTCCCCCTTGGGAATAAGGGCCACCGAGGCCAAACCCGCTGGGGAACGGAGCCATGGATTACTCACGTTTGCCAAATACCTACCTAGGCACAGTTACGGCCCACGGACCAGACTACCGAGTGCCACCGTCCCATTCGGTAATGAGATCATGACGGTGGTGTGCGTTGATTGCTTAATTATAGCTGAGCGATCTTATTGGGGGGGGGGTGAGGGGGGGAGGGGGGAAGATATGCAAGGTACAAATATCCCAATATCCGCTCACCCCAAAAAGATTTAGTTTCTGTTTACTCTACACCGTGGTCTGTCTTCTCACCTCAGTCATACCTAGGCATCACGATGTTGTTCAAGTCCCTTGTCCTCCTCGCTGGTACCGCTGCCGTGGCCCACGGTGCTCCCTCCGCTCCTGGTGCTAATGACATCCCCCGTGATGTCCTCACTCAGATCTCGTCGTGGGGATCCAACCCCACCAACCTCCAACTTCACCTCTATGCCCCCTCCAACTTGACCGGCAAGCCAGCCATCATCCTCGCTGTGGGCACCCCTCCCCCTTTCTAACTCCCCGTTATCTCCATGCTAACACCCCTCCAAGCTCCACGGCTGCTTCGGCTCCGGCCCCGGGCACGCCGAAATGACTTCCCAATTCCAAACCCTCTCCTCCTCCCGCAACTTCGTCGTCCTCTACCCATCCTCCATAAACGACAATAACTGCTGGGACGTCGCCTCCCCCGCCTCCCTCACCCGCGACGGAGGAGGTGATTCCACCGGCCTAGCCACCATCGTCCGCTGGGCCACCACCACTTTCAACGCCGACCCCAAGAAGGTCTTCATCACCGGGTCATCCTCAGGTTGCATGATGTCCAACGTCATGGCCTCGGCCTATCCCGACCTCTTCTCCGCCGTGTCCTGCTACAGCGGCGTCCCAGCCGGCTGTCTCGCTGGCTCCCCTGGCAGCAGCCCCATCAGCGCCGATCAGACGTGCGCCAACGGGGGGATTAGAAAGACGGGGGAGGAATGGGCTGAGGTGGTGAGGGGGATGGCGCCTTTGCCTGAGGGCAAGGGCAAGGGGAAGGGCAAGGGTAAAGGGAAGGGGAACCAGGGGTGGAAGTATCCCAAGGTTGCTACCTGGCATGGGGATAATGACTTTTTCGTGAACTATTTCCACAACTTTGAGGAGCAGCTTAAGCAGTGGGGGGCGATTCACGGGGTGGAGTTTACCAGGAATGAGACGAATGTTCCGGCGGCGGGCTACACCAAGATGGTGTATGGGGATGGGACGAAGCTGGTGGGATATTCGGCTAGTGGGGTGGGGCATGTGGTGCCGCAGTTTGAGGCGGTTGATCTGGAGTGGTTTGGACTTTGAGGAGGATCTTGTTGAGGCGTATGAAAAAGAATATAACGATTCCCATGCTCTGAACAGATATATGTCGCTCGTATGGAGACAAATTCGATGATGTCAGAGTGCCTTGAGAGACCACGTATGCGATATGTAGCAAAATGCAAAATATATCCCGTAAGAAGTAGGTAGAGAAAGAAAGATCGCTTCCAATGACTGAAACCCACAACCTTCAACACCAAGCATACTTCTCGTTAGCCACCCAGTCCACCTCCTCCCCCTCCTCCTCCCCATACCACATCAAACTAGCAATACTCTCCTTATCCCTTTCAACAAACTCATACTCAACCCCAATCTTCTCCACCAACCCCCTCACCAACCCCGTCGGATTCCACATCTGCACATCATGGCTCCTCCACTCGTCCGCCTCCGCCCGCGCAATCCCAACAATCGCTTTAAACCCCTCGACGAGCTCCTCCTCAGCCGTATTCTCCTCATCCTCCACCACCACCCTCAGCACATGCAACGTATTCCCCTCCGTCTTCCCCAACCCCCCATAATACCCCCTAGTCCAAACAGCCCAGACCCTCCTCCCCTTCTCCCCCGCCACCGCCCCCCTAACCTCAGGCGTCCTCCCAAAGATATGCTTCGTCATGAAATCCTCCCTCATCAAATGCCAAAGCAGCTGATCCAACTCCGGCGCCAAAGCAACATGTCTCTTTTTCCCGCCATCCTCCTTCGCCAACCTGGCCAGTCGTTCCTTTAGCAACCTCTCATCAACGGCGCAGAGCTCCGCCAGCTCATGATACCCAATCGTCTTGACCCCTTTCCCTCGAGGCGACCCGGCAGCGGACGATGGCGTCCAAGAAACATGACTCGACCGAAACGGCGCCCACCCATGCTTGGCATAGAACCCCTTCCCAATATCACTATACAACACGCTAAACACCACCGGCCTGTCCTCCCCGCCGTCTTGCCAGGTCTTGAGCCGTTGGCCCAGGTCAGACATCATTCTCGAGGCGTAGCCTCTGCCTCTGTACTCTGGGTCGGTGAAGACAGAGGCGATGCCGTGGGCGACACCCTCGCGGACGGAGCCGGAGGGGGTGGTGTAAAAGGCGCGTTTCTTGATGGATTCGCATGATGCTAGGATTGGTCTTTCCCCTGAGGGGGATGGGGGGGAGGACAGAGTCAAAAGCCAGTGGGTGATGCCCCCGTTTTTGGATAGGGGCACGGTGGTGAGGTAGGCTTCTCTGTCGAGGTAGTCTTGCAGGGTTAACGCGGGGCCCCATTTGGGGTGGGAGAGGGTGAAGATTTTGGGGAGTTCGGAGGGGGTGGGGTTTGTGAGGGTGATTAAAGGGGAGGAGGAGTCGGGGGAGGAGTCGGGTTTGTTGGAGCCCATTTTGGTGGTGGCGATGAGGGCGAGAGTGAGATTGAGAGGTGGGTGAAGCTATCGCCGAAATAATCTATCCGAAGGGGTAAGATCAACCAAGCAGGAATGTGCTGTGTTCAAAGAAACAAAGAAAGGGGGTAGCAGAAGAGCACCAGCCCCTGAGATCAAACAGCAGCAGCAGCTGGCCAGAAGCTTAAATCAAGTCATCAATTGACGAGTCGCAAAAAAAGGGGAACGGAAACCCGGCAAAAGTGGATCAATCATTGGTTCGACAAACGTTCGCTTCCATTGATACCCGTGGCTTACCGATCCGGGCTCCGCAACGCCGCACGCCGGCACCGGGCACACCCCGCCCCGCCCGGTCCCCCCTCGACCTACCGCACTTGGCAACGCTCACAGCGCTAGAAAAAGACTAGAAGGCTAGTGATCATACGGGGCTATCTTGTCTCCTCAATCTACAATTGTATCGGGATTTGTTTTCCTCTTTGAGAACTAAGAAACAGTTGAGCTTCAAGGCGGCAGAGCATTCCGTCCGTTGAATCCTGTCCCGGTCGGTACCTTTGGCTCTTTGTTGCCCATTGGTCGAACCACCGATCAGCACCTCAAAGAAGAAACCCTCCGCAGAGACAACTCAGACCATCTGACCTGCCCAACCCCGGAAATTTTACGTCACAAAAGACTCTTGCCAACTTTGCTGTTTGCTGTCTCGTCTAGCGGCTGTCATCCGGCCGCCGGCGTGACTCCCCCTCTGTACCACAGCGGATGAGGGGCCGCGCTGGGCCTTCGGTTGTAAGCCGACGGTATCCGGCCCGGCACCACCTCCGTCACCGCACCAGCACCGACCGCCAAACCCAGTTCTTGAGATATGATATGATAGGAGAGGTATGATATGTCTCCATAGGTAGATAGCAACACGCAAAAAGGCTGCTCATCCCTTCATTATATGTCTTACGGTGTTATTTTACACTCAAAACCAAGTGTCAAGCAGAACTAAAGGTATCTAACTTTTTTCTCTTCCCTTCCTCTAATGATCATGTCCGTCATGTCCGTCATCCGCTGGCGCCTCTGGGTCGAGCTTGATGAGTGTATCAATACGCATGATGCTGATGCACGCCTCTACGGCGCTCTTCAGCTGTCTAATCTTGCTCATGCTTGGCTCCATGACGCCGTTCTTGATCGAGTCCACGACCTTGCCCTTCATGAGGTCAAGACCATAGTTCTTGTACGCCTTCTTGCGGGCAACTGACTTTTCGTCCTCGTTCGCCTCGCCCTCCTGGATGCGCTGCGACAGCGCGTGTCTCGACCGCAGCTGGGCGACGAGCTCTGAGGCGTCCTTGGCCGCGTTGACGGCCAGGGTCTTGGGAATAACAAGTAATGACTGGGCAAACTCGCCAATGGCGAGCTGCTCGCGGGAGCCGACTGTGCCGGCAAATTCTTCGAGGTAAATGTGCAGCGCAGTCTCGACGGCACCACCGCCGGGGACAAGGCTGCCGCTCTCCAGCGTCCGCTTGACGGCGCACAAGCTGTCGTGAACGGAGCGCTCCATTTCGTCGAGGGTGAACTCGTTGGGGCCACGGAGGATGATGGAGGCCGAAGAGTGAACCTTGGTGCCCTTGACCAAGATGCACTCGTCGTCTGAGATGCGCTCCTGTGAAACCTCCTCGGCGTGACCAAGATAGGAGGCCTCGAACTTCTCGTCACCGTTCAAGTCTGAGAGGGAGCTGAGCATGGTGGCGCCGGTGGCTCTGGCAATGCGGCGGAGATCCTCCTTCTTGCACCGACGTACAGCCATAGCACCGCGCTCAATGAACAACTTTAGGCAGAGGTCATCGATACCCTTGGTGGTAAGGATAACGTTGGCGCCGGCCTTGAGAATCATTTCCACGCGTTCCATAACCATGCCCGCTTCTCTTTGCCTGATCGCCTCGAGCTGATCGGGGTCGTCGATGGTGATTTGCACGCCGAGCTTCATGCGCTCCTTCTGAAGGTTCATGTCGAGAACGGCAATCTTGGCGTCTGTTATCCGGGTCACCATGGCCTGGGAAGCGACAGTGCAGTTGAGCGCATACCCCTTGACCAACACAGACTCGAGAGCACCCTTGCCGTGGGCCTTGAGAATATTAACAGCCTTGACCGGGTACTTGGTCTCGCCCTTGTTGCTCGTTGTCTTGACAGCCTGCATAGCATCCACCACCATGTTCGAGAAAAAGTCAGAATCGGCGCCGATGATCTTGCTGCTCATGGAAGTCTTGGCAATGTTGATCAGAGACTCCCGCCCGAGCTTGTCGACCTTGATGCTGATGTGCTCGTTCATGTACTTGACCGCCTCTCTGAGGGCCAGACGGTAACCTGTGATGATGGTGGTAGGGTGTATCCGGTTCTTCATCAGCTCGTTTCCTCTCTTCAGCAGCTCGGCCGCAATCAAAACGACCGACGTTGTGCCATCGCCGACTTCCTTATCTTGTTGGTGCGCAAGGTCGACGAGGATCTTGCCGGCGGGGTGCTCGACGTCGAGTAAACTGAGGATAGTCGCGCCATCGTTTGTCACCGTCACATCCTGTTTGTCCTTCGTGTCAGGGGGATGTTGCGGTCAGTTGGCGGGGCGGGGCAGCAGCAGGCACTCACACCGATATCATCGACCATCATCTTGTCGAGGCCGCTGGGGCCGAACGAGCTCTTGACGACATTGGCGATGGCTTGCGTAGCAAGAACTGCAACGGTGGTCAGCATGGATGATCGAGCTTCGGAACAGCTCCCCGCTGTATAGTGGGTGACGAGGCCGACTAACCGTTCTGGTCGCGGATTTCAGTGCCGGAGATCTTTGTGCCTCCCAGGAAGAGGGTGCCGTTTCTCGGCTGCTCGAACATGGAAGCCATCGCGATGTATGTATGTGTGCGGTGTTGACAGTGTCGAGAGTGGCGGTGGGGATATGGGGGATGGAGGGGTGGAAGGGGGAAAGGGGGCGTTGGGTCTCTGTTGACAGGCTCCAGGCACAGTCGGGACTCGAGCTCTCTTTCGTCGTTGCCCTGCAAGGCGGGCTCCTAGCTCAGGAACTTTTTATCGGAGGTGCAGATAATCCCATCCCGGTCTTGAGCTCCAAGGCAGCCCTGTAATTGGCTGGGCCACTGGCATGCCCCGCTAAAAAGTCTACGGGCCTGGGCCTGTTCCCGCCGTTGCTATCAGAAGGAGGGGTATCCGTTCCATGGTGGGGTAGCCACCTCTCTGAAAACGCCCAGCCGTCCGGACACCTGAGACCGGCATTGACTCAACCTCGCCGTCGAGAGTCACGCCCCTTTTTTTCTTCCTTAAAAACGCGGCTCCATCTTGATCTCTGAACGTTATACTCACCTCAGTTCACTTCAACAGGCGAAAAGGCATCACCATGGGCGACTCTACCGAACAATCCAAGTCGGCGTTGAAGAAGGCTGAGAAGGCCGCGAAGATGGCAGCTCAGAAAGCTGAGAAGGCGGCCAAGCAGGCTGCCCTGCCCATCCAGAGCAAGAAGGACGACATTATTGGTATTACCGCCAAGAAGGGGGAGAACTTCAGCGCCTGGTATCAAGAAGTTGTCCAGAAGGCCGAGATGGTGGAGTACTAGTGAGTGCTGAAGTCCCTTAGCTTATCTGTGAGAGCTATGGTTCTAACACATGGACAGCACCGAGATCAGCGGTTTCTTCGTACGTTGTGCTCTAGGCCTAGTCTTCCGACAGAGTTGACTTATATGCTTTTAGGTCATGCGTCCAAACACCATGTACATCGTGGGTCAACCCTTATCTCAGCTTGCCAAGCCTGTCTTTTTGGCGAGGGACTGACTGTTGCGCAGTGGAATACTATCCGAAAATGGTTTAATGAGCGCATTGAGGCTGCCGGTGTCGAGGAATGCAACTTGTTCGTCTTCATCCCTGTCCCGGCATCGGGTTGCGAATCTTATTAACACCACATTGCAGCCCCATGTTCCTCAGCTCTACATCACTGCAGAAGGAGAAGGACCACGTTGAGGGTTTTGCCCCAGAACTCGCGTGGGTCACCAAGGCTGGTGAGAAGGACCTCGAAGTGCCGGTTGCCGTTCGCCCAACTTCCGAGGCGGTGGTACGTTGAGCGCTCCTCGCAACGCTGGGTCAATCAGATGCTGACGGAGATCTGAAAAGATGTATCCCTACTACTCCAAGTGGATCAGGAGTCATCGTGATCTTCCCCTGAAGTGAGTTCAAACTCATTCCAAAAATTCTCGGCACTGCTAACCCCAAGCTCAAGGCTCAACCAGTGGGTATCAGTTGTGAGATGGGAGGCTAAGCAGACAGTGCCCTTCCTGCGCGCAAGAGAGTTCATGTAAGGATCTCATAAAGCGGCACCAAGTTTCACAATGCTGACCTGTAACCCTTCTCAAGGTGGCAAGAAGGTCATACTGCTTTCGTGTCAGAGGAGCAAGCAGGAAAGGAAGTTCTGGAAATTCTCGAGTTGTATGCCGGTATCTACGAGCAACTGCTCGCAGTGCCAGTCGTCAGAGGCAAGAAGACCGAGGCTGAAAAGTTCGCCGGTGGCTACTACACCACCACCGTTGAGGGTTACATCCCAAGCAATGGCAGAGGCATCCAGGGTACGTACATCGATAGCAAGCTGTGTCTATGTGTTCAACTAACGCAACATCAGGTGCCACAAGTCACTGCCTTGGCCAGAACTTCTCCAAGATGTTCGACATCACTGTCGAAGACCCCACCAACAAGGGCCAAAAGATTCACGTCTGGCAAAACAGCTGGGGTCTGTCAACGAGAGTGATCGGTGTCATGGTCATGATCCACGGTGATGACAAGGGTCTTGTCCTCCCACCACGCATCGCCAAGACCCAGGCCATCCTGATCCCCGTTGGGTTGACGGCTAAGACCACCCCAGAGGACAAGGAGAAGCATCTCGACCGCATGTATGAGTTGCTGGCAATTCTCAAGAAGGCTGGCGTTCGCACCGAGATCGACACCCGCGAGGGCTACACCCCAGCCTGGAAGTTCAACGACTGGGAGATGAAAGGCGTTCCCGTCAGACTTGAGTTCGGTCCCAAGGATGCGGCCAAGGACGTTGTCTCCTTCGCCCGCCGTGACACCGGCGAGAAGGGCACCATACCCATTGGCGAGCTCACCACCAAGGTCCCGGAGCTCCTCGAGACCATCCAGCAAGACATGTACAACAAGGCCGAGAAGACCTTCCGCGAGCATCGCGTCAAGATCACCAACTGGGACGAGGTTGTCCCCGCTCTCGATGCCAAGAACGTTGTCATCATCCCCAGCTGCTTGGTCCCCGCCTGCGAGGACAGAATCAAGGAGCTCACTCGTGGCGAGGATCTTCCCGAGGGCCCTGACGGCCAGAAGGTGCCATCTATGGGCATGAAGTCACTTTGCATTCCCTTTGAGCAGCCGGAGGGTCTGGTCAAGGGTGAGACCAAGTGCTTGAACCCAGAGTGTGGTCGCCTTGCCGAGTCTTTCTGCATGTTTGGTCGCTCTTACTGAGTAAATTAGAGGGAAGGAAAACAAAATAAATCGATTCTTTGTCGTTCACGGGGGTGAGCAAAAGCCTGTTAGCGAAGGTGATCAAGTGCTTGGGCAGAGGACAAAAGCTTCCATTTTGCAAAGTGGAGGATAAGGGAAGGGTTATCTTTTAACGGGGTTAGGAGTCGCGGTTTGGCTGGAGGGAAAACGATTCTGGCTGCCTAGCTCGATCCCTATTCTTTCCCTAGGCAATAGACAAAGTATCGACCATTCATTTGCTCTTCTGGCGTTTGTGATGTGCTGGCTCGGGCGGGCATATAGAACAGAGGGCGGACAGGGTTTATGTCCCCGATGAACATGGCGCATCAAGTTACTTTTGAAGTGTCAGTTATTTTGTACACGACGTGTATACATACAAGCAAAAGTTTAAAAAGAAAGATACATGAATCGCTAATTCGACACATACTTGACCTCTACCCAGAAGCAAATGACCCCCCCCCCTTTGCTAGGTATCAAATCTGAGGTTCCCGCGAAACGCCTGGCTCGCCCTCCCAGAAAATGCAGACCACCACCGCCCTAACCGCAATGAATGTGAAACTCTTTGAAACGTAGCCAGAAATATGCAGCTCCAGCAGGTGAGCCTACCAATCAGCCGCCCATCCATTCTCCTCCAAAAAGTCGCTACAAGCCTGCTTCAAATCCAAGTTTGGCCTGAGCTCGCTCGCCTGAAGCGGCTCCCTGGTAAGCGGATCTGTCTGTGACCTCCTCAAGTGCTCCAGAATAGCAGCTCGTTCGTACGACTTGCCTGTTTTGGTCTGTTGTGCCCTTTGTCAGCCCAGTCAAACCCCCCAATCTGTCCCGGTGCGGCACTCACAATAACAGGATCAACCATGAACCCAAAAGTAATATCATCCACCGCCCAATCCGGCACCTCCCTCCTCCGTTCCTCCTTCTCCCTCGCCTTCTCAAAAACCTCCCTCACCCGCCTCAGCTTCTCCTCCCACTCCCTCGTCAGCTCCTCCGCCTCCTCCCCAGAGAGAACAACAGCCTCCTTCTTCTCCTTCCTTAACAGCATCAGAACCTCCTCTTCCAAATCAGCCGTCTCCCTCCTCCGGCGCTTCTCCTCGTAATCCCACTTTTCTTTTTTACACTTTAGCACCTGAGCGGTGATGTTCCCAAGAGACTTATCATTCGCCGCCACACACAGCTTGTGCGCCTTGTACGCGTGCTCGAGAGCGTCCGAGTAAGCGCGGAGGGCGAGCTGGGCTTGGGAGAGGTAGTAGTGCGCTTTGAGGTTGTCGGGGGAGAGGCCGAGGCAGGATTCGCAGTCTGAGATTACGAGGTCCCATTGGGAGAGGCGGAGGCGGGCCATGGCGCGGTTGGTGTAGAGGGTTGGGTTGGTGGGGTCGAGGTTGAGGCTAAGGCGGGAGAAAGGTTAGAAAGAAAGGGGGGGGGGGGTTGGGTGGATATGGGCCGTGAGCTGGGCGTACGCTTGGGAGTAGAGCGCGTCGGCGCGGGAGTATTCGCCTTTTTGGAAGTGGCGGTTGCCTTCCTCGCGGAGGAGCTGAGATTTGGACATGGTGGGTTTGGGCTTTTGCGGTTGTCGCTGGGGATCGAATGGAAGGTCTGGAAGGGGATAGGTAGGTAGCTCTGTAAGTGCTTGTGGGCGCTGTTGTAGGGCTGATCAAGCTCGAAAGGTTTGGGGCGTTGTTGCCAAAAGTTGAGGGTGGTGTCAGGCTGGTGGTAACACAGGTTCTGGGGAAAATAACTGGTATTGCAAGTCAGTAAATCGTGTAGTTATTGTCAAGTTACATCCTTCTGAAAGTTAAGAGGCCTGTTAACTAGGTGTTGAGGCGTGGTTTGAAATACGATATGTGTTGACTTACTTTTGCAGTTTTGGTCACCTGCCCACAGGATGTAACACGAGCAAGAAGCAGACAGTTAACAAGGCCAGCTCGACGGTGAATGATATCGCGGCTCCGGAGCAAGCAAGCAGCGGACACACCCCACGGCGGGGAGGTCCTGCCTGATGAGGACCAGCGGGATCGGGTGAAAGCGGGGCATTGGCTGAAGACCCCCCGATCTGTCGATTTGTCAAATGGGAATCTTCTGGAAGCCGAGCTCTCCACAGGAGGCCCAGCTCGGGGCCGTCTCCGAGTCTGGAGCGTGGGAGTTGGCCATTCTTCCGCGGTGTCCGGTGAACCTGATCACTTCTTCCGAAACATTTTGTTTCGACTTCCGCAGAAAGACCGGCATGATCCGAAGGACCAGAGGTTATCAACCACCCCCTCCCAACGCGGGGGCCAAGGTCCGGGCCCGGGGCTTACCCCACCTGCCCACTCCGCACGCACGCCGGCTCAGCTCCAGCCTTCCCCGCATTCCACCACGATAAGGCTTATCACGATGGCCTCCCTATGGTCTCCCTCCCGCTGTCTGACCTTCCCGGAAAACCAGATTCCGTTTCACATGGCAAGATGGCAAAAACTGTGTCCAGTGCTACCCTACCTACCACACTTCCCACGGAGGTTTTCGCGTGTTCACGTGTCCTCCACGTTGAAGTTGACAGAGCACATGCTTAACCGCGCCAGTCAAGATTGACAGCTCGCATGAATGCACCAGTCCATGCGTCTGAGCTGCGTCTGAGTACCGATGTGACATCTGGCCATCCAATTGGGTTGCCTCCGTCTGCACCGGTCGATAGGCTACCAGGTAAGTCGGATGTTAGGCAGGAGTGGCAGGCGGGGGAAAAGCTGCGGTCGGTGAAGGCAGGCATGGCCCGGAACTTAAAACGCAACGTAACCTTACTCCCATGTTTCTTTCCTTTTTGTTGTTCTTGTGCTCGCAGATATCCTGTAATTGAAGGCCCATCATGAGACGACAAGAGACACCAGAACAGACACAGGACACCATGGTGGCCACCACCTTAGCCCAGGACGACTCCCCGTTCTTTTCCCTCCTGCCACCGGAGATTCGGGAGTTGATCTACCAGGACATCTGGAGCGAGAGTGGTTCAAGGCAACACATATACAAGGACAACGACAAGTGGTCTCATGTTCCCTGCGTGGCAGACTACTCCACTGGAGATACTCGTTTTGAGAAGTTCACCCAGAGCGCCAGAGGATCGCAGGAGGAGTACTACTGGGTGAAGCGGTTGAAGTCGGAATGGTGTTATCACTGGTGCTGCGAGCAGTCGACAGCCAAATGGCACAGGGCCCAAAACCCCAACGACTCGTGGAGGGAGGAGAATGTCGGACATGCCGGGCCCAGTGGCTTCATGAACCCCATGCTGGTGTGTAAGAGGATGTATGTGACCCTCACCACTGATCCCCGCAGTCCCCTAAACTAACAGTCCACGCCACCAGGTACCGCGAAGCCCTCCCCTCCCTCGTCGCCAACACCACCTTCGTCTTCACCGACCTCCTCGAAGCACACGGATGGCTCTCCCTCTACGGCGGCAACCCCGAAAAGCTCCCCATCCGCTCCCTTGAAATCTGCATCCTCACCACCCAGCTCATGACCGAGCTCTACTTCCCAACCTCGGAAGAAAACGAAGGCCCCAACCCTGCCTTTGGCCACGGCAACAGCAGCAACGGTCGCAGCGAGGACTCCCACCCCGGCATCACGATGCACTCCAACCCCTGGCAGCGCGTCTGCGACCAGCTCGCCCTCTTGCCCAACCTGCACAGCCTCCACATCTGGTTTCACACGAGGGACCTCCGGGACTGGCACAAGCGCATGAGCGAAACCCGCTTCTTTGCCAAGCTCTTCAACGTCAAGGTCAAGGACAGGAACCAGTTTGTCTTGGCCCTCCCGGACCTGCCCCTCAAGCCAAAGCGTGGACTGCCCAGCCACCACTTTTTTGAGAACGAGACCCTGGAGGGGGCACCGTTTGTGGTTGAGAGGGGACCGAGACCGAATAATTGGCGAGTGCATCTGATGGCTTCGGGGTTGAGGGGCCCATGATGTTTCAGCGAAAAGCGTTTTGAGGAAAACTAACCATGGGCATTTTCTATCTAGGTTACTGGAAGAAGCTATATTCCGGACTCGTATAAACAGCTGGTCCTCTCTTGGCCCAGAAGCAGGAGGGCGTATTTTCCTTGAAATTGCCAGAATGTGGGGGCTCGGCGGATCAAGCTCAAGCGTCTAGCTGGAGTCGTGTGCTAGGTACTGTTGACATGAAGCATGATTAGACATCCCATCATTTTTTGGCGGGAAGAAAAACCTCAAATCCAGTCAAGTCTTGGTACAACTCTTGTATTCTACAACTCCCATCGTGTACTACTGTAACAACACGCCAATGTACAACTCTGATCGCCCCCCCCACCCCCTTGGATCATCAAAGAACACTCCCAACCAGAGTTCAACAAAACAAGAAAGCCATTAACAGGCCACACAAAAGTAAGGAAAAGAATATCTTTAAGCTTGTACGTTTCCCGCACAAAGGGCAGGTCGTAGTTAGGTATCCACCAACAGAGAAAAGGTCCAAAAGAGAAAAGGTCCATAGCATAGTTCCAAAACAAGGTCCAAAAAAAGCTTCCAAAAAATACCTTTCTCCAATAGAGAAGAAAAGGTCGCAAATGAGTGACTTGAAGATCCCCGGTTTTTTTTAAAAAAATAAAATGAAAAAAATTCATCCCCACCCAAAAAAATGAAGAAAAAATGCCACACCAAGGTCCCCTTAACGCCATCAACTCCCTTCCCAGAACCAGATACATAAAACACCCCACCCTCCGAAAACCCATAACTTGAGCAAGGCATTTACACCGTTGCGTGGATCAAGATACAGCCAGTCCCCCTCTCCTCCTGTCGTTCCTTTCCCCATCGTCATTTGTGTTTCTCACATGATGCGGTCCTGCTGCCAACGACAGCACTGCACCCATCGCAAAGCACCTCCATTCACGGCCGTGGTGGCAACCTCGACCCCCTCCTCCTCTCCACCATCTCCCCAACAATGCCTCTCCCTAGGCCTCGCCGGAAACCTCCTATACCCTCCCCTCACCCTCCTCCCACCCGGCACCTCAAACTCAAACCCCAACCCCTCGGGCCATGCCAACCAGGTACATACTTCACCATCCTCCCATCCCCGCAGACAAAGCCCCCCTAATAAGCCTGCCCAGGCGCCGGGCTCAACCCCCCCATCTGCATCTCATACTCGCCCCCCCCTTGCCCCCTCATCGTTCCAATCCCACCACTCCCACCACCCCCCGGACTGGGACTGACCCCCTGGTTCGTCGAGTAAAAACTCCCCGGGCTCTCGGACCTCTCCGCGCTCTGCCAACCCCCATTTTGTTGCTGCCCCGGCGGGGATGGAAACCCCCCCGTGTTATTCCCATTCCCACCCCTATTATACCCCCCCTGGGGCACAACCCTCGGCCCGTTCTGCGCCGGCCTGGGCTTCACCGGCCGTGTAGACAAGCAAGTCCTCGGCACAACCCCCTGCTGCGACCGATCAAGCCTAATACACAGCGCCCAGCCGTCATCATACTCGTGCAACAACCGCACCAGCTGTCCCGCCTTGAGACCTAATTCGTCCTCGAGAGTGGGCTTGAAATCGAGCTGGACACGATGCACAGTTGAGTTTTGGGGCCCGCCGGCGGCGGCGATTTCGGCTGCTGATGTGGAGGAGGGGACCATAGTTGATGGGGACATGGAGTGCATGCTGTATTCTGTTCCTGCTGGGGATGCCGGGCCGGGGGCGTATAACGGGGATGGTGGCTTCGTCAGGTCCAGTGGTTTGGGCAACCCCTTATTGTGGTGGTTGATGGACGTCTTGCGGGTTAGAGGCTTGGAGCCGGCGCCAAAATCGGGGAGGTCAGTGTCCTGATCTATTGGGGATACTGGCTCTGGTGTTGGAGAGCGGTTTTTGCTCGGGACGGCAGGGAACTCTGGCGCGAGGGTAGACACCGGGCTGACGGGCTCGTTGTTGTAGTTCCTGGTGGAGTGGCTGTCGTGGAAGGGATTGAGGGAGTAAACGCTCCCTCGGGTGCCAGGGCGGTTGTCCCCGGTGGGGGTGGTAGACTGCATCCTGTGGCGCTCCCAAGCTGAACCCCCTTGGTTAGGACGATTCAACGGCGACAGAGAGTTTGTCGGGGAATGAGACGGGCCGGCGGGGTTGACGGTGAGTTGGATACCCCTAGAAGCCCTCCGCTCGGGGTGCCCGCTAGGAGCCAAGTTCTGCCACAGTTGAGAAACCGGACGGAGGCTCAGTCTGGGAGCCGCGCTGGGGGCAGCAGCAGCGGGCGGGCTTCTCGATATGGCTGCGCTGTCGGAGAAAGGTCCGTGGATCTTTTCATCGTCCTCGATCTGCTGGCGTCTGCGGGCTTGCTTCTTCTTGCGCATGCTCATTATCAACCAGACCACCACGAAGAGTACTAGCACGCCGGCGAGGACACCCATTGCGATGCCAGCTTTGACCGCGACGCTTACGCCTTCGTCGGCGTTGCCAGTGTTGGTGTTCGTGTCCTGTGTCGGTCTGGATGATGGCGTGCCTCGAGAGGTTGACACCTCCGGGGTGACGCTAGGTGCCACGAGGGTTGAGGTCACTAGCGAATTGTCGATGATGATTCTGTCGTTGGGGGCGTTGGTCACTGGGTCGATCTGGTCAGGCAATATCGCTTCCTGTCTCCCCTCCAGGCCTCGCAGCTCGATATGTGGTGTCTTTAGTGGCTTCTCCTCCGCTGTCCTCGTAGCCGGCGCCGCAGCAATGACTGCCTCCACCTCTACCACATCATTCCTCATCCTTTCTCGTGCTGTCATCGTAGCTGTCGTCGCACGGGGTATCTCTGGTAAACTTCAACTTCTCGTCCGAATCCTGAGCGTCTGTCCTAGATAATAATAAATAAAGATGGGATCGCAATGTCCCGGCGATGGAGTTGGTGTCCTGTGTCAAACTGGCTCGGGAACACGGCAACGGGAAGAGAATGAAGGGGTCGGTAGCAAACAGAGAGTCTCTTGCAAGGGAAGGTAGAGGGCGGGTGAAAAGAGGAAGAGGTGAGCGTTCGCTGGCGTCAATCTCTGCGCATCATGGTCAGGATTCACAACATCCACGACAGCATGCCCGGCGACAACAGGACGGCGATGTCTGGTGGACAGAGACGGTGAGGTGGTAGGACGAAAAGCGGGAATGGGGGATGCAGGAGAAGGGAGGGCGAGAGGGAAAGAGGAGAAGGCAACTGCAGTCAGAATGGCAGCCAAGACCAGCCCAAGAGCGGCAAGGTGGTGGTGCTGTTGACGGTGTCGCTGGGAATGGGGAGGGGTGGCCGGGATCAGCGAGATGCTCGAAAGGAACGCAGGCTGTGTGTGAGGCCAAGCCGTGAGCTTACAGGGTCACAGCGATGCAAAAGGGAAGGGTCTAACGAGTTGCGGTTTGCTGTGCCTCCCCTTGTCCCCCTTCTTGGGATCGTCGCTACACTGCGCCGTTTTCCTGTTTTCCCATCCCTTCTCTCTATTCTCTTCCGATCTGCTCGTATCACGGTAAAACCATTCGATAATGTTTCGTTTCATCCAAACCACCTCTGGATCATCAAGCTCCACGAGCTCTCGTTGCTTGTTTCTTCTTCCCCTACCCCAACGCATGGACCCGTCCAACCTTTCAGGGACCGCATTTTCCTGATTGGCGGGCCGCAGATCAACCCCTGAAGCGAGATTGTCGGCAGGGATGCCATTGGCTGGTAAAAACTGCCCGCCGGGGTATTTCGAGGTGGAGCCAACTGCTCGCCTTGATCCGCTAGGACTATTTTGGCATCAGCCAAAAACGCCGCCCCCCGCCAACTGGCCGCTGTCGTTCGCCGTCTCTTGATGCCTCGTGGAAAAGGCTTCCATTCTTCTTTCAAGAATTCCTTTTTCTGTGTGTGTGTGTGTGTGTGTGTTGTTTCGTTTTTACCCACCACGTGTTGTGCTACTGCTGCTGTTGCTGCCACCATCCTGCCGCCCATGCGAGATCCCGATGGGTGTTTGCATTCCAAACACACAACTGGGTGGGTGAGGGCAACACAGGCGACTCGCTCGTCACACGCAGGCCAAGCAGACGATGAAGGTGAGAATGCAGCGCCTGTCTGCTGTTGGATCACCACTTTTGACCTTTCTCTCTCCTCGCCCTCTCTGTCCATCTTCTCACCAAATCCCCGTGGCTGAGTTTCCTCTCCAGTCCATCAGGTCCCAAGCACCATCGGAATTTCTATTCTCAGCTTTCTTCCTGCTGCTGACCCTTTTACGCCTCACCAAACACCCAAGAAATTATTCACTTCGTTCTACGCCGCAAACCAACCCACCACTGCTAACCAACACCCCTAATATATTACTACATAACAACGGGCCTCATGCACCATCTCATTCTAGGCAATTGATCAACCATTTCCCTTCCTCATATGCGACAGATTTTACATAACCACCTGCAAGTCGATCACTTTGATCCTTAAGGCCAACAAGAACTTGACCTTTTTTTTTTTCTTCCGCACTGGCTTCCCTCCAGACTGCGCCGCGATCTTGTCTCCTGTTGTGGTTGTCTTATCGGAATTCAATTCCCATCTCGGAATTTTTGATGGGTGGTGGTCGTTGATAGTGGACTGTTGGTGTGGGCCGGCCGCTAACGTTTCACCTTTTCCGCGCCGTTCAATCCTCTTTCTCCACGCGCGATCAGCGGAGCACTTTCAGGGTCCCTCGTTTCTTTTGTCTCGGCCGCCGAGCCCGAGAGCACCGGCCGGGTCGGCGACCTGCGACCGTGAGGGCCTTGTCTTTCTCCATTTGTAGGGCGGTAAAGCCGTGGGGAAGATGAGATAAGATTGAAAGGTGACGCCATTCCGAGATCCGAACAGCATGGGTGTTGGTGTTGAAGCTGTGACCATCAATGGTGATATCTGTCTTGAGAAAATGCATCAACGCGATGAGAACACAACGCTTCGATGGTTCATCAAGGTTTGCTATGGTTGATCTTCCTTCCATTGACGGTTATTCCGATGCTTGAATGTCCAAGATATTGGAACTCCCCACATGAGAATTATGCATCGCCAACGATGGGCCATAAACCTGGAATTTTGAACAACTACCCACATCAACATTATGCACCAATAAGCCAAGTGATCAACATCTGATCCGAATTGTAGACCGTATCTAGGTGATCCATGACGCGGAAACGGGGAATCACGGCAAACCCAGCTCCTTTCCACGCCTCTTATGCCTCGCCGCAAAGCCATCACGGCGTAAAACAAAATGCAACTGTCACGGGAGCATCAAGCTCGGTGTATTTCACCTCCAGCTTGCCACCCTCAGCGGCGAAGCAATACGCTACCGTCCCGAACCTGCTCGCGACCTGATCTCCAATCCACTAATCCATCAACCTTTACGAGACGGTCTGGTTTGTTTTACAGTACTCTTCATTTTGTCTACCTCTGTGCTGGTATCATTATAACAAGTAGTCCTACATCCCATAGACAGTGCCTTCTTGCTGAACCGAAACACCATGATGCACCCGGCTCATCCGCCCATCCATCCTTGCTACACTATGCAAACAAGAAATCCACCCCCTCCTCCTCTGCTGTACACACTAACCACTCGACGGGTGGTATCCCTATGGCTCGAAATTCCCGAGTCTAGCAATTAAAAAATGCTGGGGAAAATAAAAATAAAAACCCCATGGTAGACGACTCATCCGCCAGGTCCATCTTGTGCGTTCCACACGCGCTCATAACTTGAGCAAAATCGACTATTGGTGTAAGTCGGCAATCGCTCCGCCGAGTTCCAAGGAGAAACCCATATTTTGTCGTGGAGCACTTGCTCAAAGACGATGAGCCAACCTCCATACCACGTCCTACCCCTCGACAACCAACAAAGGAGGCGGTCGTTCGATCAGTTAGGCGTCACGTCGAGACTCGGATCGGTCGTTCGCCGATCTTTCCTGACTGTCAGTCGAGCCTTGCTGGCCGTTGGCCGCGTTTTGCTCGCTCAGAAGCCTAGCATAGTGAATGGCACGTACCTAATGCTGCCAGTACTGATTCTGTTGCTGTTGCGGAGCTTGCTGCTGAGCTTGCGTCTGAGCCTGTTGCTGACCTCCATTCTGCTGGGTCTGGTGACCAGCTTGACCTTGGTAGCCCTGCTGGGGATGATAAGCAGACTGACCTTGATAGCTCTGTTGAGCCTGCTGTTGAGCCTGCTGCGGAGTCTGTTGCTGAGCCTGTTGCTGAGCCTGCTGCCCGTAGGCACCCTGCGCCAAATTATGGAGAATCGCGGCTGCGCCGGCCCAGTTCGGCGGCTGAGTGTACGCAGCCTGCTGTTGGGGAGGGGTTGGGGATGGAGCCACTGGAGCATAACCGTACCCCTGCCCCTGGGCCTGGGTTTGAGCCTGCGGCCAGGCGGGATAGTTAAACGTGAACCCACCCGTAGGAGGCTGCGGCTGTCCGGGAATGGGTGGACGCGGTGCCTGCTGAGCAGCTGAATAGCCGTGCGGCGGAGGGGGGAAAGGAATAGCTGGCATGCCGGGCCAGGCGCCTTGGGTAGGAGCTGGAACGGGTGGGAATGGAGGGCGGACATGTAAGCTGTAGGGAGAAGGGCTGCCGCTGGCGGAGAAAGCTGGCAGAGTTGCGGATGTTGCGGTGGAGACATCAGTCGAGACAGACGAATGTCTCCCATGACCAAAGCCGCGAGGACCCCCTTCGTTGTCGCGACCGCGGAAATTGCCTCTGAAGCCGCCCCTGCCACGGCTGTTTCCTCGATCACGGAAGCCATCATGACTACGGTTATCGTCACGGCCTCGATTGTCGAAACCACCATGCTGATCGAAGTTCAGCTGGTCGCGAGCCGGACTCGGGGGCCTGGGAGGTAAACCAAATCCGGGGGGTCTGGCCAATGGACGGTAAGGCCCATCGTCGTCATCATAATCGAGCGTAGCTGTTGTCGCAACGGAGGAGCTAGGAGCATGTTGGGCGCCCCAGCCTGAACCTCCGCCTCGACCACCACACTTTCCGCCGCGACCGCCACCGCGACCAGTTCCTGGTTCAATCCCGAGCTTTTTCTCGCGGTTCGTTCGCTTCTGCAGCTTATTATTCCGCTTGTACTCTTGTTCCTTCTCATCGTCGGAGAACTCCATCTCTTCGGGAGCAAGCTCTTCATCGTGCACGTTGCTCGCATCCGTGTACTTCGCTTGCATAAGCGGCTTGGTGAAAACAGAGTTGGCATGCCTCGTTGAGAAGAAGATGGGCATTCCAACTTCCAGCCCAAGCTCTTTGATCTCCTCTTCGTTGGCGAAGCCCACCGTATACTTGGGATCTCTGACGTTGCCTAACACATCAGCCAGGGCACCAATGACGGTGCGGTCTTCCTTGCACAGTACAGTGCCGGTGTCTAGAACCTGCTCTGCAGCGGACTTGCAGGATTGGATGACAAGATTGGTCTCAACAATGAACTGAATCTGACCCAAAAGCTCAATCTTATCCTCGGGGAGAATTTGAACATCAGGCTTGGGGATCACCTCTTCAGGCTTCTCGTTTTTGGATCGGATTGGCTCTCTAACGCCTCGAGACCCGTTCACATCACCATCATGCTCGAGAGCCATCAACATCCGGGCGGTTTCCTCGACGCCGAGAATTGGATAGTCTTCATCATCTGAGTCATCATCTGAAGAATCGGAGCTTGAGGACTCATAGGGTGAAGAGTCAATCTCCCACTCTGGGTGCTCGCCCTCCTCTTGCTCTCCATCTTGGACGGGAGTCTCGTTTGTCGTATTTCTGATGGTCTCTGTAATATCAGTCTCCTGTGTTGTAGCCATGACTGTGTCCTTGACATTGACATTGCTCTCCGTTGTAGTGACAGTCGCTGGAGCAGTAACAGACTCCTGGGCTTTAGCCACCATGTCTTTGACATCATTCTCGGCGGCAAGAGCAGCCTCAAGCGCGTCAGTAACGTCTGGGCTGCCTGGGACATCAAGATCTGTGGCCTTCATTTGAACATCAACAGACACCACCTCTTTTGTGCTGGTTTCTGTTTGGTTGGTGATGACCGGTTCTTGGACATCGAGATCCATGCCCTCATCCGGGCGAGCAGAGGCCTCAACCACTGGAGATAGATTCTCCTGCTGCTTTTCCGACTGCGGAGCAACATTAGCCAATTGTACTGTGAAATCCTGAAGAGCAAAACTTACAACGACAGGAGTGTTTTGCGTCACCTCACTGGCTGGCTTCTCCTCAGCTTGCCCCTGGCCAAGATTGAGGCCGGGGATCTGCATAGAGGACGCTTCCATGCTTTGTACTCCCTGAATGGAAAATGTGGTGAAAAGAGGTGGGAAGTATGTAGGGTGCTGTAGTTCTGGTGAAGTAGCTTCACAGGCTTTCCGATCGATCAATACTCGATAAGGCGACTCAGGTGCGATAAGAAAGTCGTGAGGGCGATGATATCGAGATGGCAGAGAGAGGAGATATTTCGACGTGAAAAGAGTCTGATCTGATAAGATAGAAAAAAAAGAAGAGATGAACCAAATATCCTATTCCGACCAGAGAAAAGACTGTTCAAAACCTTTGATGAAGTCGCAAAGGTTCTCTGATGGCCACGCAAAAAAAGTCTGGATCCAAAAAAGTTCAGAGAACGCCGGCAAGTAACGCGCACGGACTCTCTTCGGGAAGTGGATCGCTCGCTTAATGGCGCCTTACCTGAGGCGGTTAGCGGCATTGACTGCCAGCACGTCTTGGCTTGGGGACATCGAAGCCGCTGGAGAGCTGACGTCTGTGTGTGTTCTTCAGCTCCAGCAAAAAGTGGCAGCTAAATGTAATCACTTTCCTCCTGCAGCCCCGGAATAGGGTCCAAAACAACACGATGGCTCCCAAAGCCAAACCAGCAGCTCCCAAGCCTGCCCCCAGCCAGGAGAAGAGAGAATTCGTACATCCATCAGCAAAACACGCCAGGAAACAGTGAGTTTCTCTGCTACCCACGTCATATCCCAACCGGGTGTCCCGCGAATACATACTTGGGAATGTTGAGCTGACATGCGCTTCTCGGCCAGGGCTATCAAAGATGCTTTCGCGATCCAACCCATCTCTGCCTTCTACTTCTTCCTAGCCGCCAATGCCGTAGCAGCTCTCTTCTCCCCGATCCAAGATTGCGACGAGACGTTCAACTACTGGGAACCTACCCACTACCTCAGCCATGGCTACGGTCTTCAGACCTGGGAATACTCCCCCGAGTTCAGCATCAGGAGCTGGTTCTACATTGCTATCCACGCCATTGTTGCCAATATTCGCCGCCTATTGCCTCACTCTAACAAGGTGGCCGAGTTCTACTTCCTCCGCTATGCATTCGCCGTGGGGTGCGCATTCTGCCAGACCTTGATGTGGCGCTCCATCTGCCTGGCCCTGAGCCCCCGTGTTGGAATCTTCTTCATAATAGCCACCATCTTCAGCCCCGGAAATTTCCACGCGAGCACGGCCTATCTTCCCTCGAGCTTTGCCATGTACATGTCCTGTCTTGGCGCGGCCGCCTTCATGAACTGGCGCGGTGGGATCAAGACAGCGATGGGCATGTTCTGGTTCGCCGTAGGAGGCGTTCTTGGCTGGCCGTTTGCCGCGGCTCTTTGCGCGCCATTCGTTGCGGAGGAGATCTTCTTTGCTGCTGTCAGTGACCAGGATCGTATGTTTGAGTCTGCGCTTCGCGTTTTTCGTGGTGTTATGGCCGGAGTTCTTCTAGTTGTAAGTTTTCATGACCCGCCTGGGTCAAACGCCAACGCTAACTAGCCAATAGGGCCTTGACGCTTCTATCAACACCTTTTTCTACAGAAGGTTTGAACTTGTCTCTTGGAACATCATCAAGTACAACATCTTCTCCGAGACCGGCGGCCCCGACCTCTACGGCACCGAGCCCTGGACCTTTTACTTCAAGAACCTGCTGCTCAACTTCAACATCTGGTTCATCCTTGCGCTGGTTTCTCTACCGCTGTTCCTCTTGCAGAAGCTCTTCATGCGCTCAACAGGAGAGACTTTCCAGTCTGGGCTTCGTACCTTTGTCTTTTTGACGCCCTTTTACATGTGGCTGGGCATCTTTACCCTTCAGCCCCATAAGGAAGAGCGCTTCATGTACCCTGTATACCCTTTCCTGGCTCTCAACGCTGCCCTGGCCTTCCACAGTTTCCTCACCTTCTTTGGTAACGCAAGCCCCAGGACGCTCGTGGGAAAGATCCCTGCCAAGCTCAAGCTGGCTGTGGTCAGCCTTGGGCTCGTGGCGTCAGCTATTGTCGGTCTTGCCCGCATTGGTGGCATGTACACTGCCTACCACGCCCCATTGTCCCTCTACGATCCGCTCTTTGAGGTCGGCGGACGGGGCGACACAGTCTGCTTTGGCAAGGATTGGTACCGCTTCCCTACTTCGTACTTCCTCCCCAAGGATATGCACGCCAAATTTGTCCGTTCCGAGTTCCGTGGCTTGCTTCCTGGAGAGTTTAGCGAGGCCACGACTGGGTTTGGCTTCTTTGGCGGGACTTGGCTGCCTACCATCGGGTTGAACAACAAGAACGAGGAGGACATGGGCAAGTATGTCGACTTGAGGATGTGTGTTTTCATGGTGGACACGCAGTTCCCGGAGAGGGGGGATGTGGAGCTTCCGCCGAATGAGCCGGACTATGCGAAGAATGTGGATCGGTGGGAGGAGGTCAAGTGTCTTCCTTTCTTGGATGCGGAGAGCACACCGTTTTTGGCGAGGGCGGTTTGGATGCCTGATTGGGAGATTATTCCTGAGGGGTTTAGGAGGAAGTGGGGGAGGCATTGTTTGCTGAAGCAGAGGAGGTAAAGGGGGTCATTTGTATGATGATAGATGTGAGGGTTTAAATGGGTGGGTATATAGGGGGTATAGAGTACATGACTACAATGGGACTTGGTGGTATATGTCTGTAATATGTATCATAGATTGGGGGAAGGTTTGTTTCCAGAATATACCTTAGAAAAGGTATTGAAACGGTATGAACCATCACATCGACTCCTTGATCAAAGCATGATGCTTGAAGCGTTGTATCAAGACTACCTGTACGAATTGTGAGCCGAGGATCAAGACAAGCTAATACCACTGTCTCATTTCGAGGACAGAATTTAAGTTTTGACAGCGGGAATGGCATCCCAATTTAATGACTCCGGTGCTTCTCAATGTCATGACCGCGTAAGCCTAAGGACTCCTCGTATGGCACCACATTCGACCCGAATTGGGCAGAGAGAATTGAATAAGCATCTTGAATTGATTGTGTAATTGGACAAAGCAATACTCGCCCTCGTGTAACTGGTCTTCTCATGCCTGAATGCAACCCAACTACTCCACCCAAGTCTCTCAATTCAAGCCTAAAGCCATGTCGACCGTCTTGCTTATTTCCAGCGTCTCAAGATATCTAGACTTTTGGCAATAGACCCGAACTCTGTCAAGGGAGATCTGTGATTGTTACCAATCTGGTAAACCATAAAGTCCCCCAACAGAAGTATCATTCACTACTCACATCATTCAAACATAGATATTTCTTCATCAGCGCAAAGAGCCCACGCCGGCCCACACACCCCCGCAACCCCCAACAAGTTCAACCACCATGGCCTTCATGCTCACAAACTCCCCCTACCTCCTCTCCCAAATCTCCCTCGCCAGCTTCGTCCCCCACCTCACCCAACCCCACCAAGACGCCAAGCGACCCTACCACCCCGTCCCCGAATCCGCCTTCACGACCCAACCCGACGCGCTCTTCTCCGCCGAGCTCGACGCCAGCTCCAAAACCTTCCTCGACGTCCTCGCCACCAAGTTCGCGTCCTTTTCTGTGTCGTACAGCAAGTCGACCGTTCTCCGCATCCTGGCCGACACGGGCAAGATCTACTCCCTCAACAACCCGGACGAGCTCTTCCAGTCCATCGTTTTTGGTCCCGAGACCGGGGGGGAGATGCAGCGGTGGTTGGAGAACTGCCGGGTGAGGCGGTTGTCGCCGCAGTTCATAACTGGTTTTAGGACGTTTGAGAATGCTACTGTTGAGAGGGAGGAGGGGGGGTCGGGGGTTGGGGTTCAGGGGGGGGTTGCGATGCCGGTTGGGGCTGTTGGGGGAGATTTGCTTGGGTTGACGGATGTTGAGGTCAAGGGGGGGAGGGAAGTGAAGAAAGGGGTGAGGACTAGGGTGATGAATGAGGGGGAGAGGATATATGCTATTGCTTATCGGAAGGTGAAGATTAGGGAGTTTTGGGGGGGGAGTGCGAGGCCGGAGTTGGGGGTTAGTAATCGGTGGAAGGCGGTTGTTGAGGGGGTTGGTGGGAGGGTGGGTGAGGAGGAGGAGGGAGAGAGGGAGGTGTACCTTGGGGCTGGGCTGGCGGAGGGTACGGGGCAGGGGGCTGAGGCGCTTTTTGAGGCGAAGAGTGTGGATGGGGAGAGAGTTGTTTTTGGGTGGGCTTGTGAGTCTGATGTGTCGTCGGATGAGGATGATAGTGATTCTTGAGTAGGGTCGTTGGGATGACGAGAGCGGGACTTGAGGGTATGTGGAGGAATAGCTCAGATATATAAGGTACCTATCTAGTGGTCTTGTCGGCAAGGACATGGTTGTGGGAACGCCAGATTGTAAGGCCTAGGCCCCGATATGAATGAATGGACACCAAGCCAACAAATGTCTCTCATCGCCCGTGGTGGCGCTGCGATACTCCAACATGCTCTGATGCAACGCCCGTGCCACACCAATATCACCCGCCGAGGTTAGTTTGGCATAAAATCTCTTTGCCACATCCCCAGCCGCCTTGTCATTAGCACCCCACATTGTCCCAATTACATGCTGAAAGCCCAAAGCTTGGAATGTGTTTCCGAGGTGGATCGCCTCATCGGCCAGCTTGCCTTCTGTTTGCTGCGCTGTCGAGCATGCAGACAGATAGGCTACCGCCGCCTGCTCTGTATCAACCTCTTCAAGTTGAGCCACGGTGAGCATCGCGGCCTTCCCGTCTTTGATCAGAAGAAGTCCGCTTCTCGACGGGTCGGAACTAAAGGAGGCCCCATGACAGGCAAAGTGGACAAAAGAGCAGGTGGGAATCTCCCTGAGGACGAGCTCGGGATCTGGATGCTCGAGATGTAGCATGTCCTGTCCAAAAACGCTTCGAATCACATTCTCTTCGTGTCTCGTATCCAGTTTGCAATGCGGCGGAGGGTTCTTTTGCATTGTCACCAGAAGCATGCTCCTCTTAGGCTGTGCGTTGACAGATGTGGCAGCCTGCCTCGCGTATCGGAGAGCTTTGAGTGATGAGATGTAGGATGAGATGACATGGCTAAGTGTGTTTTCAGTGGAGTTGAAGCCATGGCTTCCGGCTGCGTGGAGAGGCGCTCTCCCAGCCAGTCCGCTTGTAATCCACCAAACTCGCTTCGAATCCCCCAGATGAGCCCTCAGCTCATCCAGAATTGGACGTGCTGCGACATTCCAAAGCCAATACAGTGCTTCACTACCCTCGTCTCCTGGCTCATCTTCGCACTCATCTGCAACTACGACGTTGCGTCTTGATCCGTTTCCAAGCTTCTCAAAGACAACAACCTTCTTGTCCAGTTCTTCATATTTGAGATGTTGGAGTTGCACAGACTTGATCTCATCAGGAGTGATGATGATGGCGTCGCTTCGTCGGTATGTGACATTGATAACCACAATAGGCCCCTCTTGAGCCAGCTCTCTGACCATCTCTTCAGATAGGGGCAACTGGAAGGTTTCAAACCCCTTCAACTTTCGTATCTCTCCCTCCATTTGTGAAAGTTGTTGAAGCAGCTCTTCCTGCTGCGTTTCGACAGGTCGCGGTCTGGTCAATGCGCTGGGGGAAGGTCGACTAACTGCAGCCAGCCTCTTTCTCAGATTCTCGTAGCTATCAGCAAGCCCCTTGTCTCTCTGCTGAAGCTGAATCATGTCTGTCTTGAGACTCATGGAGAGCCCGGAAATGATGCAACGGCCGGCCTCCAAAAACATCAAGGCGTCGAAGGGGCTTTTGTCGGCTTCTAGGGTGACTGAGGCGGCCAATGTAGAGAGGCCGGATACTTGAGACAACGTAGCCCTGAGGTCTTCGGCAGAGAGAATTTGCGGGTGAAGGGTCGGCAAGAGGGAGATTCCGGTCTGCAAGAGCTGGTGTGCTTCGGTTACTTCACCCTTCTCCAGATGTAGTCGAGCCCCTTGAATTGTCGCAGGCAAACGCAACAGAAGTGGCGCCGAGGCTAGGTTGGCCACATAGCGAAAGTGCTTCCTTGCCTCCAGTACGAGCATTTCATCTTCTTCGGGTTGGTCGTCTCCATTCAAGAGCCATTTGCTCAGAAGCATCTTGCCAACATTCATATAACGCTCGCCTCGGGCTGGGTCCAGTTCCGGTGTTGCTTCAGCGGCCTCTCGGCCGTATCTCAAGGCTTCGTCCAGCTTTTCCATTGCCTGCCGTTTATTCTTACAGCCTTTCAAGATCTGGTGTTGAGTTTCGAGGATGTGAGCCAAGTAGGTAAGAATTCGGTGACGTGCTGGATGCCCATCCGAGGTCAGTGTCAGGGCCTGTTGAAGAAGCCGAACACCTTCCTCGCCACACCGAAGATCTCCGGTTACACTCGATTTGAGGGCGAACCATGGCGCAATCAAAGTGAGCGTATGGGACTTTTCGTGTCTGAGAAGTGCATTGGAACTTGGGTCTATTGGCTGCAGAGTGCGGACGGCCTCTCGACCCAGCTGGATTGCCTCCTCTAAGGCTTGCAACGCTTCCCGAGATTTGGTTTCAATGTATCTTTGACATTTGGTTACCAGCATGTTGCCGAGAGCCGTCAGCTTCCCAGCCTTCTCCGCAACGTCCTTCGACGCTTCATGTTTCACAGCCAACCGGGAGATCTGAAGAGCGTGCTCAAGTACACTGAACTGAAGGGTTTGTTGGAAGCGTTGCTGAAGAATCCCGGCACAATTTGTGTATTCCATGGTTGCAGCTTCAGGCGGAATGATGTCGATGGACCGATAACCAAGCTTCAGAGCTTCCTCCATGATGGCAGGCTCGTCAGAAGCGAACATGCACTTGTGAAACAGAGCCACGCTGAATCTAGATAGGAACTGCGCGTGGTAGGTTGGACTGAGCTTGTTTGCTGTAGAAGAGTGTTTTCGAAAGAATTCCACGGCTTCGGAAACGTGCTCCTGTGTAGGGAGCATCACAACCCGATCCATCAGGTAAATGCTCAATTTTGCAACGGCTAGAGCACTCCACCGTGCAGTTCCGGCCTCCTCAAAGTTGAGTGCCACAATGCAGTGGTCTATGGCAGCTTTGATGCTGTCAAAACTTCCAGTTGCTTGAAAGTGAGTGTAGCGACTGTTGGCGACACTCTCATAGACCGCGCTCTTGTCAGAATCAGGGCCATTGGGCCCATCAAGTTGCAAATGGCAGAGAGCAGCGTCGCTTGTTTCGAGCGCTTTTTGGAGAGAAGCACTGTCCATAGTTTTGGCAAAGTGCAACTGCCATGTGAGACTCTCCTGGCTCAGGAGATAAGCCATGCTAGGAGAGTCGTGTGGCTGCCTCGTAGAGAAGAGCTCTTGAAAACGTTCAAGAACATACTCTATGTCTTGCAGGGTCATGGAATTTGAGAGATTTTCCCAAAAAGCATCCATCTCCTCTAATGGTTGGTTGGTGGTCTTGGAGAAACAATGTGTGCCGATGCTCAGATCAAACTATCAAAGCTGGAGGCAGAAAGGCCACTGCTGGGGTAAATTTCGTCTCGAGCTCAGACAGAAAGTTGCCAAAACTGGGATCGAAAACTCTGGAGGATGGGATGACAGACTCGGATCCAACAAATGACTGTTCCGGGTCTGTCATGAAATTCTGCATGTCCAACCTTGCAGTTCAGCTTGGGCAGCCAGCATATGCTCAATTACCGCCTGATCTACTCGTACCTTATGCCAAGCTCAGTTTCTTGCCGTTTTACTCTTGGAATTATCAACAAAATTCCAATGTATGCTATCGGAAACTTTAGTAGATGTGTGGGGTGTTCGCCCTGCTTTTCATCTTGGTCATGGGCACTCCATCTTTTCACTTTCGTGAGTCTGTGGCCGATAGTTATCAGATGTAACACTTTTCCATTGATCTCTGGCAGGTACTTTGCGACTTGGTTAGGCAGACAGGACACCCACTAAACATTGACAGGTCGAATATCTAACGAGTCCTGACTCGCCAAGGCCATATGTCAATGTCTTGGCTGGCCTTTTCCAAAACATCTCTTTTGACCAATGCAAGGGCACAGTTCTGGCATATGTGTGGCCCTCGGTATTTATTTGGCGCAGTTCTATCGATTTTACCTTAGAGAGAGGATCTAGACTCTTCGGCCAAAAAAAATATCAGGTATGCATGCAGTTCATCAAATCATGAAGTTCTTCTACCCAGTGTCAGAGTTACATTGGAAGTTACATGTAGGGATATGTAAGGTGACCGTCGTTCATCTAACGGTTGGATGTTTTCTTCTGCCGCCGATGCCGCGTGGAATATCAATGGCAAAATGATCACATTGGTACGTACCTTCTGTTTTTCCCAAGGTAACTTGACACCAACAATTTGGTGACGTGTCTTGCACTGGTTACCTGACCCGCACATACTGTTCGAGGCTGGGAAAAGACATCCACTGTCTTGAGAATTCCTACCTCTCCGAACGCTTACTGACTTGGATATAAGCTCATGCTCCCTGCCACACAATCTGCCCGGTGATCACTTTCATCAATACACTCGTTGACCTGCCGGGCCCAAAATTACCAACCTCACTCAAGACACAAGACTGGAAGCTTTCAGTCCCAGCAACAATGGCCGTCGCACCTGAGAAGATATTTGCCGTGTTGATTGGCATCAACAACTACCGCGGGCAGTACAACAATGTCAAAAATCTATACGGTTGTGTCAAGGATGTAGACATCATCGATACACTCCTCACAACCACCCTCCGCGTTCCAGCCGGCAATGTTCATACCCTCACGTCCCCTCATGGGTCGACACCGGAAACTTTGCCGACCAAAACCAATGTCCTTGCCCTGATTGAGGAGGTCGCCGGAAGAGCGGTTGCGAGCGGCCCTGGTGCCCTTTTCTTCCTGCACTACTCTGGCCACGGCATGCGCACCAAAACAATCTACCATAAGCCAGAGAATGGTGGTTTGAAGTCTGCAGGTGCCTACGATGAGGGGTTGTGCACTCTGGGAGAGCCCCTGATGGATGTTGAGCTTTCCAATGTTTTGGATGGGCTGAATGAGCTGGGTCTCACGGTATTTGTGTCCCTCGACTGTTGTCATTCAGGAGGCGCCGATCGGGACAGCTTGCATTCAGGCTCTGGTGGTGGACATGATGCTTTGGATGGTCATGATGCCGCCGGACTTGAGAGTGTTAGCATTCGGTGTCCTTTTCCCGATTCGGACTCAGATGATGAGATTGATTCTGGCAATGAAGTGGGCCGTGGTGATGGAGATGGCCGCAACGTGATAGTGCAGGAGAGCTGGCTGTATCGCAACCGGAGGCACAATCTGCTCGCAGCCTGTCAGCCAAGTGAATTCGCATATGAAACTGGTGGAAGGGGGACAATGACATACCATCTCGACAAAACCTTGACGGCGCTGAAAGATTCCATCATCCCAATCACCTACGATATGCTCATCACTCACCTTGTATCCAAGTCCGGCATCCGCAACAACATTTTCCCTCAACAACCCATGCTTCTCGGAAACCGCAACCGCCTGGCTTTTGGCACAAATACCAAGTCGGCTCTTACAGGCGTGATGCAGGGCAATGTCACAAAGACAAAGAAAGAAGTGGGATTCACTCTTGTCACCATCAGCAGGGGTGCTTCTCATGGGGTCGAGGTTGGGGACCGCTTCGCCCTCTACAGACCGGATCAGTTCACCTTCGGCTTACTCAACCCTGACGAGGAGCGAGCTGCCGAAGCTATCATTCTCGAGGTCACCAACATGACGGCTGCTGCGCGAGTTCCGACCACATCCAACCTTGCCAATATTCCCAAGGTTGGTTGGTTCGCCGTTTTGGTCCAACGCAACCATCGCCCCGTCATCTACGTTGACACAGTCAATCTTTCTGATCAAACAGCCACTCGTCTCCAAAACTCCTGGAGAGAGCTACCGGAAGACCTATTGCGCCCCACGGCTGACTTGAGACTACACTCTGATCCGGATATTGTCCCAGAAGTCACTTGTCCTGACACCTTTTACGTCAAGCCCTCTGAGGATGGGACAAGCCTTGTGGTCCACAAAAACAACACAGAGATAATGGAGAATGTCCCCAGCCTCGACCATAACGACGACAGCATTGCCAGAACACTCTCCCTCATCGTTCAACACCTCTCCCCTTACCAGCGTCTCACCAACCTCGCCGCCCGTGAAGATTCCACAAATCCGTGGAACCCTAGGTACGAATTCGAGATAAAACGGATCCACGATGTCAACAGGTCCAACAGCCCCACGCTTCCCGCTAAGGTGCAGTACGGGGTCGTCTTCAAAAACACCGAACCCCGCCCTATCCGGATACTAAACCAAGAAGAGGAAGCCCTCACCCAATTCATTACCATCTTCAACCTTGATCCAACCTACGGCATAACACAGATCTTCCCTGACGAAGGCGCCGACAGCTTCGAAGTCTACCCCAGAGAGGCCATCGACCCCAAGTTCAAGCTCAACATCACAGTCCCCCCACAGCTCCAAGCCGCCTCCCAACAACCAGGCTTCCAAATGCACGACAAGATTATAGTTCTCATCTCGAGCAAGGCGACAAACTTCCGGCATTACTCGCAGCCAGACCTTCTCGCCTGGCTGCATCCGGAGGATGCCCGCGAGGACGTATTCTTCAAGAAGATCACCCCGAAAGGTCAGAACAACATGCCTTCGCGGCAGGCGACGAGAGCAGAAGAAGAAGAGGTACAGAACTTGCGATCTCTGGATGAGTTTAAGGTTGCGACGTGGGATATTATCACTACGCATGAGGACTTGTACCCTCAGGTCGAGACCAACACCGCCAACCACACCCAACATCAACCACCCTCTCGTGTTGTCCCTGTCATCCAGCCGATGGTCGAGGCGCATGCTTAAAAACCCTCCACCGACATGAATGACACAACAACCCAACCCACACTTTGTTCCCACCCGATGGCATTTCACACATTCTTTCATGTACCTCCTTTTTCAGAGCCTCAGCAACACGCATACCCACATTCTCTCTCTGCTTTCCTTCTTCCCTTTCAAAAGAGATAGCACATCAAGTACAGATATATAGCATCGATTACATAGCCATTCCTGATCAGGTAGTGTGTAATGAGAGAACCTATATGGAGCCCCCTATTTATCTATTTATCTTACCAACCCTCCCCCCCCCCCCTGAATATAGGATTTGACTATATTATAAAGTATAATTATTAAGGGTTGAATGGTATTTAATAGGCTCTAAAAATAGTTGAAAGTTTTTAAAAAAAATAATTAGGAGGCCTTAAAAGATAGGTAACAAGGCTTAAAAGATAGTTTAAGGGCTTTAAAATAGAGTTTGAAGGCTATGGAAAATAATTCAAGGGCTTTTGAAGATAAATGAAACGCTTATTATTTTTCTCTTAAGGCTTTTTACTATATTATAGCAAAGGTAAGTTAATAGGTAGGGAGGGGGGCACTGATAAGATAAATAAGGGACTCCGTAAAGGTTCTCTCTTTCCTTTACACATGCCAACCACATTTTCTCCCCATTCAAACATCAACCTCACACTCACTAAAATCATCACTATCACCCTCAAACACACACAAAATTGACACGTAACTGTCTATTTTCTTTTCTCCCCCCCTTCTCCCTCCCCCTCCCCAATCCCATAAAACACCCCAAACTAGCTAGACAAAACAAGACATTGAAAAAGTCCAACAATCCCTACACCATAACTATGTACAACACATTACATCAAAAACCCTGCCTACACAAGCCATGCTCCTAACAACAACAACCTCCCAAATTCCCTTCCCATCTCGACTTTTTTTCCCCGCTCGCTTTCCCCTAAAATCGATCTATGTTTCAAACTCCCACATAAGTTTACCCAAGTCTCATCCTCGTTTTCTTCCTCCTCCCTTCCTCCTCGTGATACCCCCCACGGGGTTTACTCCGCCCCGGTAGTGACACCCCTTTCTTCTCCACAACAGCCTCAGCAGCAGCAGTCGACTCCTAAGCCAACCCGCCCCTAAAACCAAAACCTCCCATCACACTCCCCCCCATCCCCCCCTGCGCCGCCGCCGCAACAAGCCCATCGACCCTCCTCTTGACGGTAGCCAACTCCCCCCTCAACTGCGCAGCCTCGTCTCTCAACTTCTTATCCGCCTCCGTCCTCGCCCCCGCAGACTGAAACTGCCTGAGCAACGCATCCACCCGTCCCAACAACTCACTAACCCAAACCCCAACCCCCCCAGCATCAGCCGAATTCCTCCCCCCCCTCATCTGAATCGAAGTCACCCAATCCTCCACAACAGCAACAACCCAGCCAGCCACATTCTTCCTCTTCCTCCCCACAAAAGGAACCTCCTGCGCATCCAGCACCCCCTCCAACACCTGCACAATAAGCGCATGCGGGACATGAAGCTGCTGAAACAGCGCCATCGGCCAGTTGGGGCTCTCCAAATCCTGGTTGTACTCAATCGCATAACCGCACACCATTGGGATGACCTTGTCGACGGGGAAGACGAGACTGTCCAGCGAGGCGCGGTGAGCAATAATCTGCACGTTCTGCGCTACACACTCCCACGGCCTCGGCGGCTCAGCCTCGGGGATCTGATCCCGCAGCTCGGCAGGTACCCCATTCCCGTCGCGCTTGTTCCACAGCTCCGTCTTGATCTCCGTCTCGTTGTGGACCTGGTGGATGAGGTTGCTCCACGTCTCCTCGATGACGCGGTGGTTTTGGAAGTCGGCAAGGTGGAAGATCAAGAGGCTGAGGTCGTAGTACCCGGCTTGGTCAATGTAGTCATTGTAGAGCTAGAAAACACAACGTTAGCAAAACGAGTCCTTGTTGGTAAACGAAACGGACTCGAACGTACCTCGTTCACGCTGAGGATCGGCCCGTTCAAATGGTCATTGACCTCGGCCTTCCTGCTGTTGTCTATCCGGCCGTCTGCGAGCAATCTCTGCAGCAAATCATCCTGGATGTGCGCCATCTCGAGCATTTCAGACACCTCATGGTTCAACATTTGTTGCTGCTGACGGCTCACGCCAGCAGTGTTGACACTGGCATTTGCCTTGGCCAAACCAAGCAGCTTGATGCGGTGTTTGATGGGGATGGCCATGTCCGACTTGGCAATGTTGGCTTGGACTTGGGCCGCTTGGAAGAAGAAGTTACGGTGAGTATACCACCGGCAGAGGAGGTCAGCGTGAGTGTAATTCTGCTCAGAGAGCTGCTGAAGGTAAGCCTCAACGTGTGGCGAGTCAATGGCAAGTAGCCTATCAATCCAGCCCTTGGAGATGTACCACTCGTACAGGTCAATGTGAAACACTTGATCATCCGAGTTGTTAACAACATCGTAGGCCTCTTTCCTCTTGGTGGCAGCGACCGTTTGGCGCCCATCAATCGTCTCAGGCTCCGTGGAGAGGTAACCCTCGAGCGCGTCAAGAATCTGCTGAATCAGGATGTAGCAGCTCTTCCGGGCATTGTACGCCCTCTCACGAACATCACCCGCCGGCCTGTTATCCATAACCCATGTCAATGCAGTGTTGCCCCGGTCCTTTTCCTTGGCAACCACCAAGCACAGCTGAATAGCACCGGCGTAGTACTTGAGCTCGATGTACTGGTTAACAGCCCTCTCGAGGTTGTCGGCAGAAAGACTGCCAGCGACCTCCTGAAAGAGTCTCAAACTCTCGGCCAGCAGCAGACGAGCGGCGCTGGCATTAGCAACCTGGTCACTCGCGCGCTGCAACTGCTCTTGGGCCTTAAAGATGACCACATCGTCAGGCGAGCAGAAGCTCCCGCAACGTCTCCTCAGGCCATCAGCGACCGTATCCACATTGGCGCCATTAGCGATATTGCGGTTGACGATTGCTTTGACCAACACCTTTGCGAGGTCTTTTCCGGGCTTCTGGGAGAACAGGTGCTCATAGGTAAGCTGAGAGAGCCTTTGTTGGTCGGCAGGTTCGAGCCGACCATAGATATCCGCAACTCTCTCGCTAAAAAGCATAGTGACGAAGGAAATGCCCTCCGTCACACTCTTCATGAGCTGACGCATGCCGTGGAAAGCCTGGTGTTCCTTTTGCGCAGCAATCTCGTCATTTCTGTTTGTCAGAGTACCGGGAGGGCCAGAGAGGCCTTGGATCGTGCCCTTGTTGGTCTCCAAGAAATTCTCCAGACGGTCGACCTGTTCCTGAACCTGCACCAATTTCTTGACGTCTACGGTCGAGGTCACCTCCTTGCCGTCCTTGGCAATCGTGACGACCTTGGTTTTCCAGAGTGTCCTGACAAGGCGGGTAAAGTACAGCACCAACGCATCGTGACGGGACGATAACCTAACAGAATCCTGAGGGGCCATGCGCCCGTCTGACTCCGCCACTCTGGCTTGGCCACCGTATTCCACAAATACCAAGCGGGCAAGGTTCGCAAGGCCGGTGTCCGAGGATCGCCCAATACCCGTCCGCGAGTCGTTGCCCTGACCACACGCTACTGCCAGCGCCGCCGAGCAGGTTTCCACTCTCCCGTACTGAGCAAGAAAGTGGCGAACCTCCAGCTCTAGCACGTCGTCGCCCTGACCTTGGACAGATCTGAGGGCAGTCGCAAGCATATCCACCACCCTTCTCCGGCGAATGATGTGTACGCCAGTGTTTGTGAGAATCGCAAACTCCCCGGGAGCCTGGTCGAACTGAACAGCGAGCTCATTGCCGAAGCCTAGAGGCTGACTGTTTGCCGAGAAAGGCTTGGTCGTCAAACCGATCTCAATGGTTCGGTTGCCGGCGCCGAGGTCGATCCACGTGCCCTGCTCAAAGTATTTCAGCGCCGAGGTAGGCTGTGTCAACTTGATCCGGCCCGTATCGGGAGTCGAGATAAAAAGCCTGTCCGAAGCAGCGGTCCTGTCACGGACGACGTCAAAGAAGTAACCTGGAGGGAAGCGCACACCCATTGCGCTAATTTCAAGAAGCTGCGATGTCTTGTCTAGTACCGTCTCGATAGGTTGGAGTCTGTGATCCCTAGTCCGTTGGTACTCCTCCCTGGGAGGGAACTTGATAAACTGCAGCTGCATACTTTGAGGAGGAAGGGTGGATGACCCGCCGCCGATGGTGTATGAAGCAGCGCTCGTGGCGCTGAGAAGAAGGCGACAGCCAGTATCGGTGAGAGCCATGAGATGGAGTTTCGACGTCTCGGTGGCGGTGATGGGACTGAGTGACACAATGGTAGTCCTGTCGGTGAAGAGAGGTGATGGGGCAGCCAAGTGGGCAAAGTCGCGGAGGATGCTGGTCTTGTCCTTCTCAATCACCTTGGTGAGCTTTTCGGGGCCCTCCATGTGATAGGTTCGGATGGTCGACCGGTCAGATAGCGAGTACACAAGGTTTCGAGTATCGTCAACATAGAGACCCACGAGGTGTTCGTGTGGCCGGGGGCCAAATGGCAAGTTGGTCAGTGGTACAACAGAGGACCAGCCGGGATGGGTATGGTTGACTTTGCTGCATCTGCTAGAGAACCATCTCTCTTCTTGCTGGTAAACAATTTCGTGGATGTCGGTGTCCGTTTCGCCACCGACAAAGATGCGCCCATTGGCGGTTCCGACGATGTAACTGACATCACTGCCACCACGGTGCACAGCCATCTTGGTCTGGTAGAGCGTGACCTTCTTGGCTCCCGACGCGTTGGTCTCGGCCGCCACGCCAACAAGAACAACATCGGTTGTTGTGGAGATGACGAGAATATGTGTAATGGTCTTGACGAATACGCCTGGCTTTGGCGCAACGAGGGCAACGGCGGTGATGGTGGTGGTCAATTCCTCGTACCCGATGAGTTCTGGCGTGGGATGCGTGTAGTCCCAGAGGAAGAGCGAACTATCGATGGAGGCCCAGGCATATCCGAGCTGTGGGAAGAGGCCTAGTTTCGTGAAGACCTCTCCCCCATTAAGGAAGTCGAAGATCTGGTCAGGAATTTGGTACATATGGGTCTTTTGAAAAGGCGCCCATGGCCTGTCCGGCGGATGGATGTCATACTCGGAGGAAGCGCCGGCTATTTCAAGGTCTGTCAGTGTCTGATAATCGGAAGCTCGTAGAGATAATACACACGTCGGCAGTATGAGTCCAGGTCAGGATAGCTCTCATCGTTGAGGAGATTTGAGTTGACAACATGACCAGCCGTTTCGATCAGAGGGACGTCTGCGCGGGCAACAGGCGGTGCCGGAAGCTGGCCTGTCACGAGAGCCTGAGTGCCGGGGCCAACTGGGTTCGCGGGTGGGAGTGCCATAGGTGGTGGCACACCATTCCCAGGGTTGTTGGTAAAGAGTTGTCGTCGCGTGGTGTTTGGCGCAGGAGTGTTAATGTAAGCGCCGGGGATGGGGCGCATGGGCGTTGAGGGCTCCATTGTCGGGGTATCGAGCAAATATAATAGCAGACAATCTCATCCCAGGTCGCGGGGGTCCTTTGAGCTGTTCGTGGAAGGCAATTGAAGGTCGAGAGATGAAAGGTCTCTCTCGGTTCTCCTGCGGCTCCTGTCCTCTGCTTGGCCCTGCGACAGCCAGTCGAACGAACACCAACACCAAACCAAGCCCTTTCTATCCCCGGCTGATGCAATCAACAGCTGTTTCGTAGAGATGCCGTGTTTCGTATCGCGATTATAGCTCAAATAGATGCTTCCAGGGCTGTCGGGAAGCTCGCCGTGGTCTTGTTCGGTTGCAAGGGACGGTGGTCACGATGAATGGGCGCCTTCGCAGTCAGTGGCAGGAAACAAGAAAGAGGCTGGCCGTAAACAATTTTTGGAGAGCAAGGATCATTGGCAGCGACCTGAATGGCACGGACACGCGAACGCGCTGCATGGGACTGTAGAAGGCGCTAAGCCTTATTGGGGAGCAGCCCTCTCTGTCACCGCCTTCAAAGTTCAAGCTCTCAACCGGCACGCACAGACCACATCCACCACGTCACTGTCACCTCTTGCTCCAAGGGCTTGTTTTGTTGTTGACATTGGCGTTAGAACAGCAATTAGAGACCAACTGACCCATTGTCATTCACAAATAGCACAGAAACAGATAAAGAACCAATGGTTATACCATTTCTATGCAGATCCAAAAACCCGAGAACCAATCGAAGTCATTACAACAGTCTACAAACTAAAGCATCGGCTGATCATGTACCCCGCCAAATGGACGCTTTTTCCATGAATACCATTGCCACCCTATTTTTCTTCCTTTCCTAACCCATCCATGCCTTCATTACTCTTACATTATCCCCAAGGCAACCCTTTACTGCTTCTTGGCCTCACGGGCAGCCTTCCGGAGGGCACGGTTGCGGATGTCAACGTGCATCTTCCTGTTCTGCCAGATAGTGAAAGCGCTGGTGTTGCCAACAGTGCTGTCAATGATCCACTTGAACACGTTGTGGCTCCACCAGGGGGTATAGGTGTTGGGAAAGTTCTCGTTGCTGTCGAGACCAATCTTGCCAAGGGCAGCCTTTACAAACTGCTTGGGGCCAGGGATGAGGAGGCTGGTGCGGCGAACCTTGCTCATGGCAGTGGTGACGAGGTAAGAGATGACAAACTGAACATCAACGCCATGGGGGGCAAGCTCTGAGGCGAGAGAAGAGCTCCAGTGCTGGAGGAAAGCCTTGCTGCCGCTGTAGGTGGCGAGGTAGGGGGTGGGCATGGTGCCGGCGAAGGAGCCCATGGTGAGAATGAGACCCTTCTTGCGAGCAGCGAGGATGGGAGCAACGACCTTGGTGGTCTTGAGAGTGCCGAGGCAGTTGATGGTGACAATGCTCTGGAGCTCGGTCTTCTCGGTATCGAGGAAGGATACGGGGATGCTGTGGGACTGGCCGACGTTGTTGATCAAGATACCGACATCAAGACCAGCAATCAGCTTGGCCAGGCGCTCGTAGTCCTCATCGTTGTCCTGGGAGAAATCCATGGCGAGAACCTTGGTCTCGAGACCGGACCACTTCAAACGCAACTCCTTGGCGAGAGCATCGAGCTTTGACTGGGTGCGGGAGACGAGGACGAGGTTGAAGCCCTTGGAGGCAAGCTGAGAGGCGAACTCCTTGCCGAGACCATCAGACGCACCGGTGACGACGGCCCAGGTGCCCTTCTTGCCATACTTGCGAAGCTGTTCCGAGATTGAGAGGTTAGCATGCTTCTGGTGTAATTTTGTCGAAAGGTGAAGCCACCTACGTTGGGACCGCTGAGGATGAATGAGTTCAAGAGGAGGCGGACGAAGCTGAGAGCGCCCCTCAGAACGTAGAGAGCGCCGAGAGCAGCAAAGGTGTACTGGAGTGGCTGAGGGACAGCATTCCAGAAGTGGAGAGCCTTCTCCAGGAGCTGGGCGATTTGCGAAGCCATGTGTCTGATCGCCGTGCGTATTCCGAGATGGCGATGTCCCCGGATGTAGTGGTGTCTTGTCCTGAAATAAGGTTGAAAGGGTCCGGATGGCTCGGGCTTGGAGACGAGAAACGCGCTTCCCCCAAAAAAATGTTGGGGGTCCTGCCAGGGAAATTTTTGTGACCATCCACCGTCCATCCCGCTGCGGGGCCGCCGCCCGAGCTTCGGCCAATGGCGATTGCCTCCAAAGGAGACCCCTGACAGTGGAAACACGTCCCTTAGGCTTGGGCCTGAGCTGAGCAGTGTCGTGGCACACCTCAGCTGGTGTTCAATTCATTGGACGACTTTGAGGCTGTTGGTCCAATCTTGAGATTGCTGGCTGGAAGACGACACGGTCACTGAACAACATCACCGTTCCTTGCCTAGTCAATCGACATTCTATTACCTCAATCGCCAAAATGGACCAACTCAAAGCATTCCTCCCCTCGGGAGAAAAGGGCATCCTCCCCTATTACCTGTGGTTCGTAAGTCGCACCTGCCGGGAACCCTCGGACCAACACGGCATCAACAATGCACCGTCCACTAACTTCGATCCTCCTTCTAGATCTCCATCGTGTCCATGGGCAACGCTCTCCAAAACTACGTAACCCTCCACTACACCCGGCGCATCTACAACGGCCGCTTCGTCCCGAACCACGCGCTGCCCCCAGCCACGGGCAAGCACAGTCCCGAGGACAGCACCAACATCCTCAAGCCCGCCTCCGGCAAGGACGCCGAGAAGGCCAAGGACCAGGTCACTCCCCTGGCCGCTCGTGTCTTTGGCACCTACACCTTCGTCGCCGGCATCATCCGGCTCTACGCCAGCTACCAACCCGAGAACTACGCTCTGTACCAGATGGGCATCCTCACCCACGTCATTGCCGCCGTTCACTTCACCTCTGAGATGCTCATCTTCAAGACCATCCGGTTCAGTGGGCCTCAAATCTTCCCCTTCCTCGCTGCCTACGGCGGTACCACTTGGATGCTGCTCCAGTACAGCAACTACGTTGTCTAAGTCAGCTGAAAGGGGGTCAGGAGTGTATGTGTTAAAAAAGGTTGTATAATACAACACGGAAACGAGCATCCCCTCGTGTTTATAGGGACTCCGTAATCAGGCGTCTAGCAGCTGTCTAATATCAATAATACCACCTGTTGTTGCCTTTCTCACTGCAGCGACTTGCGGTACAACTCCCCTCCACAATCCCTCAACTTCGCAGCCGCCTGCTCCGGCGTAATGTCCCTCTGCGGCTCAGCCATAAGCTCATACCCAACCAAAAACTTCTTCACCGTGGCCGACCTCAGCAACGGAGGGTAAAAGTGCATGTGGAACCAGCTCGTCTCCGCCTCCTCTTCCGTGCAATCCAGCGGCGCCTGATGAATGCCAGAACCTATTGTTGAGATGTCAACAGACCCATCCCCTACACACTCACCATCAGGGTAGGAAAACTTACTGTAAGGAAAATTCGTCTCAAACAAATTATCGTACCTCCTCGCGACCTCTTGCACCGCCTGCGCAAACTCCAACCGTTCCTTATCATCCAGATCCACCAGCGCCCTCACATGACGCTTGGAGATGATGAGCACCTCAAACGGCCACAGAGCCCACCACGGGCAGACAACAACAAAGGAGTCATTTTCCCAGACTAGTCTCTCCTTCTTCTCTAGCTCAAGCTTGACGTAATCGCCTAGCAGATGCCGGCCTGTGTCGGACTTGTATTTCCTCATATTAACCAACTCCTTCCCTGGTTCTTCAGGGAGGGTGCTGGTAGTCCAGATCTGGCAGTGAGGATGAGGGTTTGAGCAGCCCATGGCAGCGCCTTTGTTCTCAAATATTTGCATGTTCTTGAGCTGGTGCTTTGGGGGGGTCACTTCGCCGTCTGGGTTCTCTGGGATAGTGGAGAGGACATAGGCGGCTTGGCCATTGAGAGGGTGGGAGGGGGAGAGGTGGGAGGCGTAGATACGAGTCCATGTGTTAATTACGGGGACAATTTCCTCGGGGGTCATATCAGCGAGGGTGGCGTCGTGTTTGGCGGAGAAAGTGAGGACGTAGCACCTGCCGGTGACGGGACGGGCTTGGAGGAGGAGGGAGGCAACATCGTCCTTGTTGGTTTCCGGATGGTAGTCTTGCTGGGTTTCCTTGACGGCGGAGTAGTCGTTGACAAAGGCGAAGGTGTTTTTGTAAGGGGGGTTGCTGTCTCCTTGGGCACGTTTGTTGCCGGGGCAGAGGTAGCACTTGGGGTCGTACGAGGGGAGGGTGTTCTTGGTGGGGGTTTCTTGTGCTCCTCTACAGGAACCGTGAGTTGATTGGTCGTCAGGTGTATGAAGAGGTTTCACTTACTGCCATGGCCTCTTAGTCCGGTGAGGGGAGACCAGCAGCCATGATCCGGTGAGGGGGTTGTACCGCCGGTGGGAGATATCGTTGAGCACTTCGTCTGGCATCTTTTAAAGAGGTGACTGTGAATTTCGATGAGGTGAGGTTGATGGAAAGGAATAAGATGCAGTCGAAGCACTACTAATATGCAGGGTCTGGGATGAGAAGAAGCGGCGTTTGCATTTGGTTGTTCTCACAGCATCTTGCAGCAAATAACCCCGCGCCCACACTGCTGGGTCACACTTGCCAGTTTGGCGACAGCATGAGGCGGGGTCACTGGATGAGATCGAGTTTTCAGATTCGCAGATTCGGCGCTGTTCCGGCGGTATTAATTAGTGCCGCACTTGTGGCCATTGAGTTTTCATTTTCCGGGAATCATGTTCTGTTGCAAAGAGCTCTACGGGAATAGCTGCTCCTGCCTTACTCCCAATCATGTCAAGGTCCTGCCTGAGTTACGAAGCATGTGATCATATCAAATTTATACCAGATCGCTAGTCAAGCGACAATGCCGCAGTACTCCCAGCCTACACTCTCGTAATTGTGTATAACGTAAAGATTAACCAGGGCGAACAGCTCTGAAGCAACAATTCGTTCGACGATGAGCGGCTAGCAATGGGTTAGGGTTGTGACATCATCCGTCGACAGCTCGGGGAAGGACAGGCCGAAGCGATGCACAGACCAGCCGGCTGACACATTCCAAGGCCGGCTGATCCTCGGCAGCTTCTCCGCAAAGGTCCGTGTCCCCAAAGTGGCATCGCGCAGCTGCCTTGTCCAGGATTGACCCTCGATCGCAACATCAATGTCCATCACCACACGCGCCCATTCCATCAAATTCGGATCCCTCACCACCAAGAATCATCAAAAGTACGCGTCGCCTCCATCTCTTTCCTGTATGCGCAATCACATTCCCGCTTTCCCGTGGGTTTTCCGCGTGCCTTTTGGCAGTTTTAGGCGTGCTTGATTCATCGATTGTCTTTGCTTGGCCCCTGTCCAATAGTTGTCGCTCCACCAAAAGACAGCTCTCCATCCGCATCCGCATCATTTTGCGCCCGCGCCCGCGCCAGCCCGTCTCGTCACACTCACAATGGGTGTCATTCGCAAAAAGATTGCTGCCAGAGGCGGTGAGGGCGGTGTCAAGTATGTTTGCGACGTTTGCTCTGCAGATATCACTTCTACTGTAAGTCATCCAGCTGCCGTTACTACCCCGCGATGGCCGGCTCGAGCCGCATCTCGTCTCCTGTCGGAGCAACTGTGGGGTCGACAACACAACCGTCGAGCACCCCCAAGCTAACAGCTTTCCCGGCAGGTCCGGATACGATGCGCACACAGCGCTTGCAATGAGTACGATCTTTGTGTACAATGCTTCGCCAATGGCTCCTCCAGCGGTTCCCACCAGCCTGCCACCCACCCCTTCCGAGTTATCGAACAGAATTCCTTCCCCATATTTGATCGCGAATGGGGCGCCGACGAGGAACTGCTACTCCTAGAAGGAGCCGAGATATATGGCTTAGGGTCCTGGGCCGACATTGCCGATCATATTGGTGGCTACCGTAGCAAGGATGAGGTTCGCGACCACTATTACAAGGCGTACATCGAGTCCGAAAACTTTCCGCTTCCGAAACGATGCAGCCCTCACGATATGGAACTGGCAAACGAGATTTCGAGAGAAGAGTTCCAGTCTCGCAAGAAGCGCAGGATCGAAGAGCGACGAGAGGCTGCAAAGAATGCCCCAGCTCTGCAACCAAAGACGAAACCGACGGCTAGTGTGCCGTCTTGTCACGAAATCCAGGGGTACATGCCCGGTCGATTGGAGTTCGAGACAGAATATGCCAACGAGGCTGAAGAAGCAGTACAACTCATGCAATTCGACCCAGGCGATGGCATCAACCCACGCACCGGCGAGCTCGAGCCAGAGATGGAGCTCAAGCTCACAGTTATGGAAATCTACAACTGCAGGTTAACACAGAGAGCCGAACGGAAGAAGGTCATCTTCGAACACAATCTTTTGGATTACCGAGAAAACAGCAAAATAGAAAAGAAGCGGTCCAAGGAAGAGAGGGACCTGATCAACAAGGCGAAGCCGTTCGCACGCATGATGAACCGGGAAGATTTCGAGAATTTTTGTCAGGGGCTGATTGACGAACTCAACCTACGGCAAGCCATTGCTCAGTTGCAAGAATGGCGAAGCATGCGCATTGGTGACCTCAAGAGCGGCGAGAAGTACGAGCAGGAGAAGGCATTGCGGATTCAGAAGTCGATACCTATGGGATCCATGGACCGAGACCGCCTAGCAGCAAACCAACGTGGCAAGAACCAGCCACCACCGGAACCACCAAGCGGCGCCGCCCTGCTGGTCGCGCCAGAGCTTCCCATCCGGTCGGCAGCGTCAGTCGGAGGCACAAATGGCGATGCGGTGAATGGCGGGATCAAGATCGAGGGCAAGGAAAACCAGGTCAACGGGAACCACATCAACGGAGGCAGCATGGTGGTTGCCAATGGCACGCCAGCGAAACAGAAGTTTGTGGCGCAACCGATTCCAGGCATCCAGCCATTGCTGTTATCGCAAGACAACGCACCTGATCTCCATCTTTTGACACCGGAGGAAGCGAAGCTCTGCGAGACGTTGCGCTTGCAGCCGAAGCCTTATCTGATGATCAAGGAGCAGATTTTGAAGGAGGCCGTCAAGAGCAACGGCAGCTTGAAGAAGAAGCAGGCCAAGGAAATCTGCAGGCTGGATACACAAAAGGGAGGGCGCATCTTTGACTTTATGGTGAATGCTGGATGGGTCATCAAGGCTTGACCTTTTCTTGTTTGTGGGAATGTACATGACATCTTTATCCTTTTCGTTCCTATGTTAGGGCTGGAGTACTCTGGCGTTTTTGGTTATGAGCGGGATACCACATTGGGCGGACAGCGCGTTTTGGGTGGGATTGTTGAGACTATTCTGTATTTTATTTCATGCGATCGCAGATGGCACGCAATTGAAGATGTTTTTTGGTATCGTTATGGATCATTGTGGAAATGCGCTTCGGTGTGGCGGACGGGATGAGTGATGACAATGCGGCCAAGCCCTTCCTCTCGGACCAACTCGCCCCCGCCCGACGCGACAGCCCCGAGGGCAGCAATGGATGGATGGGTGGTCACGCATGATGAGGGGGAATATCATTGGTCGCGGGTTCTGTCTCAGGGTATTTAAACCATTCGTTTTTGTTCCTCATCCTGCTCTCCTCTTTTTCTTTTTCCCTTTCTCTCTGTGCCGTGGTTCTCGTGAGATCACACTTGTCGGTCGGCTTCAGCTGTCTTGTCTTGTTCGCTTGCTACCCTCTCCATTGCTTGCTCTACTTCTCAGTGTCTGCTCCATCCTTTGCTCATCTTCTTTGTGTTGTACGCAATTGACCTTGACAGTATTGCAGCGTTTTTGTCGTTGTCGCCGCTGTCAACCCGAGCAAAATGGCCGATCACTCTTCCAACACTGTTTACTTGGTCACTGGGGCGAATAGGGGTATTTACTTACCCCTTTTTCTTTGCTGACACTGCCATCTTGGCACATCCCAACCCCGCGTCATCTCCCTCATCTGCCTTTTGCATTAACCCTTTACCACTGCCCCCTTCCATAACACTTTCACAGTCTCTTTATAGCTCCTCATACCTTTCCTCTGTTCCCCCCAGTATTTGTCACCCACCACCCACCCACCAATATCAAGCACCACCCAACTAACTAACCTTCCTCCTTTTATCAGGGATCGGCCTCGCCATCGTCAAACTCCTCTCCGCCCGCCCCAAAACAACCATCATCGCCACAACCCGCTCCTTTTCCACTCCCTCCCCCTTCGATGCTACAACCCCCCACCATGCCACCAGCTGCGTCATCCCTATTCTTCTCGACGACGCAAAAGATGAGATATCATCATCTACCCTACCCTCCCGCCTCCAATCCCTCGGCATCACCCACATCAACACCCTCATCGCAAACGCCGGCTCGGCCACAGGTTTTAAATCAGTCTTTGACACGACAGAGGAAGAGTACCTCGCTGACCTTAATGTCAACACCCTCGGCCCAATCAGATTGTTCAAAGCACTATGGCCGCTGTTGGAGAAGGAAGGGGGGAAGTTTGTCGTGATTGGGAGTTCGGTGGGGAGTATAGGGGGTTTGGTGACACCGGAGGGGGAGGTGGAGGGGGGGATGTTGGTTTGTGGGGGGTATGGGTTGAGTAAATGTGGGGTGGGGTGGTGGGTGATGAAGTTGAGGGCGGAACTTAAGATGCAGCGAAAGGGGGTGGTGGTTGGGGTTGTTCATCCGGGGTGAGTTTTTTGTCAAGTGTTGGGAGTGGGAATGGAGATGCTGATGATGAGTACCTACCTAGGTGGGTGAAAACGGAGATGGGACAGGGGCTGGCGGATGCGGTTGGGTTTGAGGCGGGGCCGCCTTTGGGGGTGGGGGAGAGTGCGAGGGGGGTTGTTGAGCAGGTATGTTACCCTTAGTATCATAGTTGGAGAAGTGCTGACATCAAGGTAGATTGACAAGTTGACGATGGAGAATTCGGGGCAGTTTTGGAGGTGGGATGGGGGTGTTTTGCCTTGGTAGTAAGCTCCAGGCGTTTATACTGGAGATAAGTTGGAAATAAGCTCCAGGCGTTTATACTGGAGATAAGTTGGAAATATCCAGTTCCAAGCGCTTGGTGTTGTGCTCGGGCGACTGTTGAGACTCTTGATTGCTCGTCAGGGGTTCAGGGGTAGCCCACTAACAGATCCTCGCGTACACTCCACCGAAATCTGTTAGTGCAGGTTGCCCATCGTTGAGACGTCCTCCGTTGCATGTGGAAGTGTCCAACATTCGACTGTGGTCCGTTGGCCTAATAAAAGATGCCGTTGGTTATCTAAAGTGTTGGGTTCGGTGTTGGTGCTGTGCTCGGTCTGCATCCCTTTACCCGGGCTGCACTATCAACCCGTGTCCGACAGCTATGTTTACCCATCGGGCATACAACTCCGGGGACTCGGTGCCAACAACATCAGACGAAAAAAAGGCCCGGCCGGCGTTGGACATTGGATGCCAACCGTCAAACGGGCCCGGGTCAAAAGCTTGTCAACGGGCGACCAAGGATTGATTGGCAAGCCATCAATTGGAAGATCACTCATGCATGTGGCTGCGAAACCAGGTCTCACATCCAAGGCGTGCCACCCTATCAATCCTGGGGATCTGCAGGTGTTCCGTGGCCCAGTTGACATCATCGTCACTGTCTGGCGAGGCGCTCGCTCAGGGTGGGTATGGCGGTTAGCCACTGATGCCGCTGAATGACGACGACCCTTTGCGCAGCTGCACGGCGAAGGGGGATTCTATCTAGAGATAGAAGTGATAGACTACGGGGGAAACTGGGGGGAAAGACGGATGATACGCCTATCGCTAGATGCAGATTGCAGATGCAGCTGCACAAGAGAGGAGCTGAAGAGTGGAGTGAAGTCACGGAGCTATGAGCGGGATAGGTGGGGGAGAACACGAGGGGAGGGGAGGAGAAGTGAGGAAGAAAGAGGAGTCTGGCAATGGTCTGATTTTGAGTACATACGAACAGAACAAACATGACGCCAACAGCACGATAAAAGAGTTGAGTTGTTGTAGAAGATATAAAAGTAAAGTCTTGCGATCAGTGGTTTCACGATTGAACTGCCCAAAACGAAGCGAACCCCATAGTTTTGGGCGGGCAGGGGTCAACGGTTCGGTTACCGGGCCAGAAGCCCAGAACCCCAAGCTGGTGGCGCAGAAACCCCACCACCTCAACCCCCCCCAGTCTGCGGCCTGCACCTGCCCCCTCTGGTGCAAGCAAGTTTTTGCGCCGGTGTCCCTTGTGCGTCGCTGGGCGTCAAAGGGTCCTCCGTTCCATCATCCCAATCTCTGTTCTCGACCTTCCTGTGTCTTGGTGTCTTTTGCGATTTCTTGCATTTTTCCCAGTGTTGTTTTGGTTGTTTCAGTCCCTGAAGCTGCTTGTGTTTTTTTTTTTGTGTGGAGAGCTCCATCTCACTCCCCCCCTGTCGAACAAGGTCGTCGTCATTGCACCAGCAACCAGGAGCGAGACTCGACAGACACCCAGCGCGCGATATCGCCTGCTCTCGTACAACCATCGTCTCAACCTGTTCCCACACCCCGAATCATTCCCCTACGAACACCTTACTTGGCCCGTTCTAGCCCCCTGTGTTGTCAATCGTTTGTATTCCGAGAGCAAATACGAAAAGTTCATGCCGCTTCCTCCATCGCACCTGATAACGCAAACCACCTTTTCGAAACCTCTCTTCCAACCGTAATAGCTGCCGCCCCAGACCAGAGACTGCTCGAGAGACCAGCGATAGAAGAACCCTCGGTATTCGAACCAGGTCAGCGACGGTCGAGTCGCTTGTTGCGCCAACGACCAGCGCAACCCACACCATGGAGCATGCAGCACAGGCGATCGACCATGTGCAACAACTCTACATCCGCGCCGGCGGCGGCGCCGGGCCACCCGCCTCCGAGAGACCCCCCGTGTTCAAGGCGATCGGCATAGGCCTCGCCATTGGCTCCGGCGCCTTCATCGGTACCTCGTTCGTGCTCAAAAAGGTCGGCCTGCTTCGCGCCAACGAAAAGTACAACGAGGTGGCTGGCGAGGGATATGGGTATCTCAAGAACTTTTACTGGTGGGCGGGCATGATCCTGATGATCTTGGGCGAGGGACTCAATTTCGCTGCGTACGCCTTCACCGATGCCATTCTGGTCACCCCTCTGGGAGCCCTGTCGGTCGTCATCACCACCATCTTGTCGGCCATTTTCTTGAAGGAGCGCTTGAGCATGGTCGGCAAGGTTGCTTGTTTTCTGTGTATCGTTGGGTCGGTTGTCATCGTCATGAATGCACCACAAACATCGGCTGTTAAGGACATCCAGGACATGCAAGGCTTCGTCGTACATCCGCTGTTTTTGAGCTATGCGGGCGTCATTATCGTCGGCAGCGCTATTGTCGCATTTTGGCTGGGACCAAAGTATGGCGCCAAGAATATGATGGTGTACATTTCCATCTGCAGTTGGATCGGCGGACTGAGCGTTGTGGCGACGCAGGGACTGGGAGCCGCCATCATCGCCCAGGCGGGAGGAAAGCCTCAGTTCAACCAGTGGTTTTTGTATGTGCTGTTGGTTTTCGTTATTGCTACGCTCTTGACCGAGATTATTTACCTCAACGTGAGTGCCTCCCTTATATACCCCCTTTTCCAACGACACCGACGGGGCTTTGGTGAAATCCTTTGCAACTCCTTCTTGCCACCCCTGGACCCGACGGAGTTTTGACACCTTTATGCAGAAAGCGCTCAATTTGTTCAACGCCGCCTTGGTTACCCCCACCTACTATGTCTACTTTACCAGTACCACCATTATCACCTCGGCAATCCTGTTTAGAGGTTTCAATGGCACACCGACATCGATTATCACCGTGGTGATGGGATTCTTGGTTATTTGCTCGGGGGTTGTTCTCCTGCAGCTGTCCAAGTCCGCCAAGGACGTCCCAGACACTGCCGTCTTTGCCGGTGACCTCGACCAAATCCAGACCATTGCCGAGCAGCCCCAGCCCGAAACCGAGCCCAAGGCGGACGCCATTAGAGGCACCGCTGCCATTGTCAGGCGCCTGTCATCCGCGAGACAAAAGATGGAATTGGAGGAGCTCAAACGATTGCACGAGGAGAAGATTCAAGAGAGTCTTGCCCCTGTCAGCGAAAATGGAGCTCCTCTCTACGAATGGGACGGTCTACGAAGAAGGCGCACCGGAACCTTCAGCAGTCACCGCACTCGTCCCGGCACCGGTGTTGGTGCCTCCCCCGCGCCCTCTGGCGCCCCCTTTCTCGCTCCTCCTACACCTCACCCTCCACTCGGCTGGTCACACTTCCCCACCGAGGAGGAGCTCGCCGAGGCCAGTAGACCTGTCTCGCCTGCCCTCTCTAGCATAATGGGCACGATCCGCAGCCGCGCCCGGTCTGCCCTCCTCCCAGGGCACCCCGACTACAAGCCCAGCAACAACCCCTCCACCACAAAGGTGCAAAGCCCAATGCACCCCGTCCAGTTGACCTCGATAGCAGTGCCAGGTCAGGACAATCCCGCTTCTTCCAACAACCCATCAGATGATTTCCTGCACCCACTGGGAGCAGCAAGACAAACCAGAGCAGGAACGACAGCTAGCGCCTCGAGTTCCAAACGGCGGGTCCAGTTCCCGGAATACAACGAGGGCGAACACCCCCTCCCATCACCACCCACCCCCCCGCCTCACTCTGCAAAGCGCCAGTTTTCCTTTCAAAACATTTTCAAACGCAACCAAGCCCAGTCCATCGACGGGGCGTTGGAGAGTGGCGGCAGCCCGCAGAGAAGCGGACTCAACTCGAGGGGGTACTCGTCCCCTCAGGTGCGCATCACGGGCGCGACGGAGGAGGAGAGGTTAGGGCTGGTTAAGCCCCATCCTTTGGCCGCCAAGTCGATGCCTGCTCTGCAGATTCAGCGGTTTTCCGAAGAGGAGGAAGAGGAGGACAGCGAGGATGAGCAGCAGCATGTTCAGGAGAAGAGACCTTTTGTTGGGGGGGATGGGGGTGATAGGAAGGCGAGGGAGTATGGGCATAGTATTACGCAGGGGTATACTAATACTTCCCCTCCGAGGAAGAAGACGGAAAAAGATGTGGAAAAGGATGAGCTGAAGGCTTATGAGGAGAGGAGGCAGAGGTTTAAGGAGCGGAGGAGTATGGAGGGGGAGAAGGAGAGGCCGAGGGAGAGGAGTGGGAGTGGGAGTGGGAGTGGGAGTGGGAGTGGGGGGAGTAGTTCTGGGTCAGGGAGTGGCAAGAAGGGGAGGAGGAGAGGGAGGGCGGATAGTAAACCGCCACCGCAGCCGCCTAATCATAAGAGGACGGGGACGGGAGGGGGAAGTGGGGAGTTTGTTTGAGGCTCTGGGGTATGCCGAAAGTGGATGATGAGGGAAATGACTTATGATTATGCGCTTTTTTTTTGTTTTTTTTTGGAAGGGGTTGGACCTGTCACAAAAGGAATGAATCAGTACATATGGGAAAGGCTCTTTTCTGTTTGCAAGCCGGGATGGGAAAGTTTGGGTACCTATCAAAATTGGGTGGGTGTGGGATGGCAAAGTTTGAAAAGCAAGCGAGCATGCATTGTGCAGTTTTGTCTTTTTCTTCTTCTTTCTTGGCAGCTGTTAACACCAGGAAGGGGAATTGTAGGATAGGGACATGATGGATAGAACAAGGACTGGTTTGTTGGCGGTAGAGGCAGACATGGGTAGTAGTGTAGACTAAAGAGAAAGAGTAATGATGAACAAACAACAACAACCAAACAACCTATAACAACACAAAAAAATGTTCCCAAAATGATGATGTGCTGAAATTGACTGTAAAGAAAAGAATATAGTCATAAGCCCGGGTATCCATCGCTAATTGCTTTTCCAAAATTGCCTTCCAAGCTCTCTCGTCATCGCAGAAGAGAGAAGACCACCAACCCGCCAGCACCTACCCAGCCAACAGCAACCACCGCACAAGAGCTAGCAAAGAGGAAGAGAAACTCTGCTGCTGTGTTGTGATGGCGAGGGAGATGATAAAGGGTGGGTGATCCTCTCTCTTTTTCCTCCTTTTTCTTTCCACCCCTTCTACACATCTTATCTCTTTTCACAATGTCAAACTAGAGTCAAACTCAGCAGGGTCCCTCATGTCCTCATCTCATTCCCCGCGCGATGAAAATCACCACTCCGTATATATGGTGTCCCAACATCCACTTGCCTTCCGTCCAAAAGATTACTCCAAAGCAGTTCTCCTTGTCGTTCCTCATGAACACCATATATAGCCTCCAAAGTCCATCCCCATCTCCAGCACACTTGTTTCACTCCCCGTTACCGAGGCAATCTCTCTTGGTTTCTTTTCTTCCGCTTTGACCATCACCACGCAATCCCCTCCTGACTGGCACTCTGCCTCTTCCTACTCCTACTCTTCTTCTCCTCACCACCCCTCTTCTTCCCCTTCTTCTTCCTCTGCGACGCGCTCTCCTCCACATCCCCACTATACTCCTCCAAAACCGGCTTCTCCCCCTGCTCCCCCTCCAACCCCTCCCCAACAACCACCGCCCCCTCCTCCTTCATCCTCTTCCTTTCTCGTCTAGCCCTGTTCGCCCTCGCCTTCCTGACCACCTCATCATCCATCTTCGCCCTCCACTCACACTCCCCCGCAAACTCGCAATACCCACACTTGAACGCATCCTCCATCTCCACCCCCCTCGGCTCCCTCTCCCCCTTCCACCAAGGCATAGTCTGCGCAAGATACGTATCCAGCGTGCCCGGCTCGACAAAATACGTAGTCGTGGAGATGACCCTCCCCTCATCCTTGTCTATCTCGTCTTCATCTTCTTCCTCAGCAGCAGCCGGTGCCTTCCCCTTGCCTCGAGAGCGATATTCCACAGCTACTATCTGTCCGATATCCGATGCTCCATGTGGAAAGGTGACCTGGAGCTCAAACTTCAAAAGCCCTAGCAACGATTGGAGATTGCCGTACTTGAGACCCTTGGGTCGTTTCCCTGCACCGGGTGACGCCGGGGCAGAGAAATAAGCAGAGGATTCCGTCGTGGTGGTTGTCGTGGATGTAGTGGTGGTCCTGGCGCTTTCGGATTCATACACCCATTCTGACGCCCCTTCCGTTTCGCTTTCTGAATCCCCATTCTCAAACACCTCTTCATGCAGAGCGCCCATTTGAGCCATAAACGAGTCTGAGAAGGGTTCCTCGGGGTTCAAGTTGTACCGGCCAAAGATCTGGAAGTAGTCGAGTTTGTCAGAGGCCATCTCACTGAGAAAACGGTGGTACAGGAACAGCTGGATCAGGGACATGTGAACCTGGGGTTTAGACGGGGGCTTGGGAGTGAGACGAGTCTTGATGTCGGTTATGTAGACTTGCATCATGGTGTCAGCGAGGCGTTGTGAGGCGGTGGTTTGGCTTCCGCGACTGCTGAGAGTCTCCTCTTCTAGTTCGGAATCGGGATTCTCGTAGCTGAGGTAGTCAATGACACCGTTCACCAGGTTGCCGTCTACCATGCCCCAAACCTGCAGTTCCCGGGTTGAGCCAGTATCGCGAAGTGTTCGTAAACCCAAAATGACATTCCACATTTGCAGACCTAAATTGTCCACCTTTTTAGCGATGGTGACTGTAACGGGCTGAAAAACTTCGCGCTCGAGCTTCTCGTGAACCTTGGAGCCCCTCTTCATGGCAGGAGTTTGCGTCCTTCTGCCAAACGGAAGTCTCGACAGTGTGTAGTAGTGCTGCAACTCGCACCATAGCCCGGCTGTAAGATCAGTAACAGACAGTGGTTTCTTTGGAAAAGATCGAAACTGGGCGAGGGGCGACGGAACAACGCCATTGAGTCTCTTGACTTCTATCTCGAGCATGTGTTGGGGGTTCTCATCCGACACAGATAACGACGTGTCGCTGACGCCAGCAAGCGCCTGACTCACTAGTCGAGGTGTCTGGTCAGTTAGACAGGCGACAAAGCCGGGGGCAGACAACTCACGGTCCGGGTAGTTGACGTCCGGTATTGTATCCACGGTAGACATGCGCGCTGTCTTGTGCTTGACGTCGAAAGACACACGGCTGCCACTGCTGCGCGGCGCATTCCAGATTCCACTGTCCTGACTGTCACCGCTCTCCCTGCCCACATGCTTAGAATTTGCCGAGCCATGACGATAGGTACGAGGGTTCGTTTCGGGGGTGAGCTGGATGATGTCAAATTTCAAGTCGTTCTCACTGAGGGCGTCGAGCGCTTCATCAACGGCTTGAGAAGCATCGGGTTTGATGCCGCCACTGATGTCCCACCTCGGCTTGACTAGCTGCGATGGCCTCGGTTTATTCTGGGGCACTGTTGGGGGTCTGTAGACCGAAACAACTTCGGGTACGGGCGGATCCCATGATGAAGATGGGGCCTTTGAATCTATTGTGGGTTGGGAGGGCTTGGAGGGCTTGGGTGGGGAGGGCGGTGGTCGTGACGTACGCGGAGCTGGGATCCGCGGTGCGGGCGCTGGAACTTTCGTCGGCGCTGGTTCTGGCGGGGCCGACGTTGGAACCACGGGAGAAATGCGGTCCGCAAGTGCGCAAAGAAGTCTTTCCTCCTCCGGGCTCAGGTTGTAGCCATACTCGCTGCTGTCGTCGTCGTCGCTATACGACCTGAGGCTCGACATGGCCACGGCTTCAGGACGGCATCCTGTGCTTTTGTTGAAGACGCAGCGCTTCAGTGAGGCTCCCAAAGTTCCACTGGCCCATGCCCGCTCGGCGGTTTCTTCCCCGCACCTTTGCTGGCGGGGCGCGTGGTCACGTGGGTTCGCTGGATTTGGGTTTCATGACTCTCCAACCCTAACCCCGGTTGAGAAAACATTCATTCAGACAAGCATGCTCCCCACAGAATAATTGGCACAGCAGGTAAGTTAACCCCATATTATACTGTGAACCATGTCTCAAAAGTACATTATTAGGCCCTTAAAATATCTTTCAAGGCTTATGAACTATCTTTCAAGGCTTATGAACTATCTTTTAAGACGTATTGACTATTTTTAAACGTAAGACGATTATCTTTCGAGGTATGGTTTGTGAGATAATATGGGCTTGACCTACTTTCGACCGCTAATTATTTTGTGGTGAGGGTAGCAAGCTAACCAGCTCGATACCTCGAGCTCAGAGGTTCTTGAGCATCACTGTCCACCATCTCAGCATCATCTAAACGGTATCTTATCCACCATCTGCGCTCCATCCAAATACCTGTCCTCCAAAAAAGTCGTCGCAAAGATGACGCAGCCCTCAGGGGCTCTTTTCAGGCACCACACCAAAAACGAGATGCGAGTTACAGGGGTTCAGAGCCCGCTAACCAAGCGCCACAGGTCTTGTCTCAACAACCCTGGAATCATCCGCGAATCACTCAGCTGAGCCCTCGCACTTGATGCCAGTTTGAACGATGGGGAGGACTCCAGGCAGAATCTCGTTTCTGGCGTTTATATATACCCGTGTTCTCCAACCTCACCCGCATGTCTGATTGACTGCTTCTCCTTAAACCAACCACTGTCCAGCTCTTGTTTGTCTGTCATTTGTAACCCGCTGAAGAAATGTTCCACATCCGCCGCCGCCGCAACGTTCTGCAGGACAACCTGGGCTCCACACCGCCGCCGAACCGGAAACCCACATTGACGTCTTCCGGACCCAACTCCACTTCCGGCCCGGCGGCCGATTACGAACTGCCTCATCATGATGATTCCGGCGCTCAACCAAAAAGGGGCTTTTCCCAACTGCCACCAGAGATCCATCTGATAATCACACAACATCTCATCTATCCTGATGCCCTATCCCTCAAGCACACCTCTCGCTATTTTTACCAGCTCGTCGATACCGGCGTGAAACTGAAGGTTGATTGGCTCATGGAGAGGAGGAAGCTGCATCTGGAATGCCCGAGTAATCAGCGATGTGATTTGGGGAGTGACTTGCGGTTTTGTAGGGGGAGCGTAAAGTCAGTATCGTCACAATTAGCTCTTACTGGTATCTTCGAGAATAGCCGAAGGCTAACAAGGATATTTTTAGGTTATTGATGCAACGAAGAAGAGAGCATATCGAGTGTGAATCACGACCTGGTTTAGGCTGTCTAATTTACGGCACAGAGACCTGTCCCCATGCGAGGAAGCTCAAGACCAAAATCAAGAGGTGGTTGAGGGGCCCGGTGACGTTGGAGATGAGATGGGTCTTGTTGGTTATTGGTGTTGCTTTGCTGCCGTTGATCATAATGGGTTGGGTTTGGTTGATGGAGAGCTTTGTTTGGAATTGACAAGTCTTGTTTGGAGTCTGATATGAGCAGGTGTAATCGCCCTGGCTTTACTTTCAATCTGTAATGATAGTATACCCCAGCTACGCAATGAGGATAATGCAAATTTTGCTTTTGACATTATGAAAGCCAATGCCCCTGTCAGCCGTCACCACCATCCCATTTTAGAAAGGATCCCTCACTGGTCGTGGTGTTTGATAGTGGCGGATACTGCATTCCTTCGGAATGAGCACTGGCCGAACTGGCCCCAAAATTCCAGTGTCTGGCCCCATGACCTCCAGGGAAGAGTGAGAAAATAATCGAAGAGTCCCAATCCTGGAGGAAATCACTTGTGCCATCGTTCCCCATATCGAATCCCGGGTCGTGACCTGCGCCAAAGGGTTGTACTAACCCGCCGTCGACCTCTTGGGATGGCGAGAAGTTTTCGAAACCTTCGAACTGGGGGTTATCGAAGCTTTGTGGTGGTGGCGTTGCGGGAGGTTGACAAATCGATGTTTCCATCATGCTAGTGGCGGGTGTCACCGATTTGGTATAAGCACGAGCGTGGGATTGAATGCCCTTGAGGCCGTTGGACATGCACTGTTTAGAAGTCAATATGCCTTGGTTTTTCACAGATTGGGGGTCTGGAAAGAAAACAAACCTGCATTTCAACCACATTCCACTTCTCTTCACACCTTGCCGCCAGGGGTTGCCAAATTTCCTTACGCATACTCATGTACTCCTTGCACACCCTCCCCAGCTTCCTCGTATGAGCGTCATTCTGACCCTTCTTCTTCATGAAGCTTTCGTGTCTCTTTGATGAGAATGTCGACGTAAAGCTGGATGGCGTGCTGGTAACCGGTGTCCCATAATTCTCAGTTGCTGGTGATGTTGGCTCACAGTGGTCGATCTTGCGGACAGCCTCTTTCACCCTCCTCACGAGACTAGACAATGCCGTTGACATCAAGCCTGGGAGCTGCGCTCTGATAGAATCGGCGTCTTCGTCGTATGAATCCTGTCCGTGGGTGACATCAAGAATGATTTCCAATCGGTGTTCACTCCAGAACCCTTGCAACACATCGACAACCTCTTCGATGACGGTCTTCTGATGTGGTGTCGCCGGTGGTGTCCTGGCTTCAAAAAGGATATCCCAAATCTGATACCATATCTCCTTGTCTGACCCACCCAACCGCGCTCGCAACAGCTCCTGCTTTTCAGGCGGAATCGATGTGTTTGGTGGGTCTGTTCTCCCTTTCAAATCTTCCGTACATGTTCGCTGTCGGATGTGATGATCGCGTTCCTTGATGTCGGAAAACTTGTGTTGGCAAATCGGGCAGTAAAACGGGAGTTCGTAGTGTTTGCGCATGAGATGCTGCTTGACATCTCGAATTCGTCTAAGCTTGTAGGACATGCAATCCATATGGTGAAAGGGGTCCCGCTTCCAGAATGGACAACTCCACGATATATCGGAAGATCCAGTCCCCGGAGCTTTGTCTTCCTGCTCGAGGTATGGAATATCATTGTTCCCGTCGGTGTCGTAGTTCTTGATCTCACATCTGCGTTTGTTTTTGCGATCCTTTGGCCTAACGGTCTGCTCATACGAGAGGTCGGATGTCGCTTTGTTTGCAATCATAGCCATAGACTATTTGGATGAAGCTGTCAGTTAGGGCGGAAAGGAGAGATACGAGAGGCGAGCGCTATACATCGGGGGGCAAAACAAATGGGTTGACTGAGATGTCATGAGAGGGCAGGCATCTGAAATTCCAAATTCAATTTGGCCGGACAAGGCAGACTCTCAACACATGAGGGTCATGCACTAGTAGGGTCTGTCCTATTGGATGACGCCGTGGCATGCGGCAATTCAGACAAATGTCCAACTTCCCAATTGCCCAGGCACCCCTCCCGACAAAATGATTACCACACCAAAGTAAGTCAACCCATAGGATAGTATAAACCATACCTCATGAAATATAAATAGGCCCTTGAATATTATTAAAGGCCTATTATCTATCTTTAAAGGCCTCATAATCATCCTCCAAGGTATAGATAGTCCACGATATGATGTGGGTTAACCTACCTTTGTGTGCCAATTATTTTGTGGTGAGGGTGCCAGGACGCCTAGTCGCATAGTTACGTGCCTCGTAGGTGCTGTGCTGGCTGGTTCTTGGGGATACACCACATTCACTAATGTATGTTTTGAGCCAGGTGAACTATAATTTGCTGCAAGCTTGACTGAAAAGAAGCCAAGAGTCTGCAGATAGAGCCAATCAGCTGTGACACTGGCCTGGCTCCTACTTGGAGACACCCACCCCCCCTCATCGCGGGATTTTCGACATTTGTCTGAACTGGGGTATTCGGCAGTATTCGACAGGGTTTGGGGTTTGTTCTCTCAGTTGTTCCGGGCTGACCAATTCTGTCAATTCAGCCTTTTGTCCAAAAGGTGTTTACAGCAAATGGCCCACTCAGGATCCTATAGAGACAGCCCACCGACCCACCGTGTTGGACATAACTTCCATTACTCACATATCCTTCAAGACTTGAACTTGGTTTGACTCATTGATCTGCTCTGGATTTGTACATGCGGCTGCAAACATGTCAGCTCCATTACTGATGCACCCTGCTGAGCCTGCCACCGCCGACAACACCAAGCCAAGGCTAGCTTGTCCCTTCTTCCGTTATGATCCATGTCGCCATTACGCGTGCGCCAGTTACGAGCTGAAGGGCTTCGAGGCGGTCAAGAAGCACCTCGAGAGGAAACACATCCTGAAGAATCACTGCGCCCGTTGCTTCAGGTCGTTTGAAAGTGAGGATGCAAGAAACAACCACATCGTGAGCGAGTGCTGCTCAATCGCGCTTGGCCGCGACGAAATAACATACGACGAATGGACCAGAGCGCGGCGGTGCCCTAGAACGAAGTCCTGTGAAGTGAAGTGGAAGTGGTTGTGGACGACATTCTTCAAGCTCCCAGCACTGCCTCGAGAGCTTGTCTATTTTCAAGATGCTGTCGTGGAGGCCAAAAACGTTTTGATCGACCCTGTTACCATACAGTCAGTTCTCAAGGCGCGACTGCACCTTGATCAACAGGAAATTTCATCAGTAGCCGACGAGGTTCGCGAAGCCTTGCTCCGTAAAAATTCCGGTGCAAGACCTTATCGCGTCTGCGACAGCGAGGGTGGCGGTGACAATGGGATACCGGCTAACTTGAAAGCCTCGGGGTATGGGTCTATGGGTGGAGGGGCCGCAGAAATGGAAGCAGAGGCCGTTGCTTTTGCCCTTCCACCAGCGCGACACGCATTGCTTCCAGAAGAACCATGTCTCCCAATCATCGGAGAATCTTCTCCTCACCCTGCCGCTGCGGTCAGTCCTGTCACCCCTCTGCCAACCAGCTTTAGCCTCGGACCGATATTGGTACCTCAACAACCAGCGTCCACCAGCGGCGGGGGCCCTGAAACAAACACCTTCGACGCTTGGCGAACCGTGTGTTTGGTCCCTTGGGCGACCGCGGATGGGATCTTGGCAAGGTTGATGGAAGACCCGATTTCATGGTTTAAACCGGATGGTCCCAAGTGGAGTGACGTTTACGACCACATCGACCGGGATGCTCTGAGGAAGTTCTGGGCCCTTGGAAACACACCGGCAGTACAGGTTTCGATACCGATCCGGTCCACCCATGTCCAAAGCCTGGCCGCAATAGAATCCAAGCTGTTCGATTTCGAGGTCGCAGGCATCCGGCCTTCATAGTCCACGGGTTACATTCCAGATCTCTGAGGTGGGAAGCATCGGGCCTCGTGGAGGAAAAAGGTTCGGATGTGATGGTCTTTAAGAGTCAAAAGTCGGGCATCGGCATTTTTCTGTGATTTGTTAGGTGTAGAAACTCCTACCTGTCAGCTGGAAGTAAAGCTAAAAATGTGTGATAACCTTATCTCTTCGCGAGCCAGTGTGTACCAGATACGGAACTGTGATTAGTCTCAGGAGAACTCCCTTTTCCGTAGGAAACGGGGGATGGATTGGCAAATGATGTCCTTGTGGGCGAGTGACAAACAAACTTGTTGAACCTCGACGAGAGTGGGTGCTGAAATATTCGGGAACTTGGCCTATCGTCAAATTGCGAAGTGTGCGGAACGCTTAGAAAATCAGGTAAGTGTTGATGAGTTGACCGCGGGAATTTTATCTAGGCGGAGAGAAATGGTGCTTTTAGACATTTGGATTTATTTTGGGGCGGCAGCGGGGTAATAATTGCCCCGACCTTGCGAGTTTCACCACTAAACAGGGACGATGGCCCGCACAATTGTGCCAGCACCACTGCGCCAGCTACAGCCGCATACCCGGTGGAACAATATAAGATGGCAGTAGGCACCAAACGGCATAACATGACCCCGTCCCTCTCGCCTAACCTCTCCCAGTCAACAGTCAATGGCCACACGATTAAAACAGCCCATTGCCCTCCAAAATGAGTCTACCACGCCCCATACAGTCCAGCCTCTATTCAGTCTCTATCTGCGAAACAGCTTTTATTGATCTCGACAAAAACCTGGTGGATACTAGCACCTGGACCACCCTGAGCACAGCATCTTTGGAATATCCAGGATAGAGATCCTCCCAAGATCATGCCACAGCCCGGACATGGCAGGTCGGTCACGATCGGAAGAAGGGAAAAGACCTCGGCACTGAATCCGTCATCCCGACATCGCGACTCTATACGTCCAGCGACGGGCCGGAAACGCTACCGGCATGAGAGTCATGACGACGTCACCTCAACACACTCTGTCGAGAGCACCGACCTAGAAGATGCCCTCGAAAGCGACTGCGGCAGTGTCTCCCCCGACGAAACAGCCTCATTGTTACAGCCACACTTGCCTAAGGATCTTCAACACCTGGCGTGCCAGTTAGCCGGTCAAACCTTTCCAGTTGTTTCTCAATGGATGAACTCCGCACGCTACATCCCACCCCCTACTATCAGGATCCCACCTCCAAAGCGCTCCAAAACCTCTAGCCCAACACCTCGATCCATACTCATGGAGACA